CCTAACCCTAACCCTAACCCTAACCCTAACCCTAACCCTAACCCTAACCCTAACCCTAACCCTAACCCTAACCCTAACCCTAACCCTAACCCTAAACCCTGATTTTCTTAACTTAAATTAATAGTAGTATAGGCAAACAAATGGACATTAAAATCTTAAACGAATCGACTCTTATATAAAATTGCTTAGTATAGATTTGTATAGGACTTTTAAACGAATCGACTCGATTTGTTCGTAGAATTATAGGTAGGTACTAGCCTATAAGGGATGGTACGGTAATAAGTAGGTAGATAAGTAGGCAAAAAAGGCACTAGATAAGGAATAAGGAGAGGTAGAGGGTACTACTACGTAACCCTCGAGTTCTACTAACCCCCTAACCTCCTTAGACCTCTAGATATCTACTAATCTCCTTATACCTACTAACACCCTAACGCCTCCGGACGCGCGTAACCGTGGCATAGTAAAGTTAAGGATATATTAGTAACGCTATATAGGAGTTACGAGAAAGATGGCCTTAAGGGTAGCTAAGAAGACACTTTAAAAGAAGCTAGACGAGACCTAGAAGTAGGCTAGGAGTATAAGACCTTAAGATACGCTACATTCTAGATTATATACGTAGAAGCTAGACGGAGCTCTCCTAGGTTCCTATATAACGATAGTATATAATGCACTATTAGCAGAAGAAGCGTCGATACTAGCCTAATGCCGTATAGGGCACTCCCGACTAAAGAGTGACCTATACTAGATAAAGCTAGTAGACTTAGTAGGGTGCGACTATAGAGCCACGCGAGAAACGATTAAGTATGTTATATACGAATGTCCCCTCCTACGCGAAGACCGCTAAATTGCCATTGAGGTAGTAGGGCATAAGTAGAGGGACCTCTCTTATATACTCGGGGGGTGGAACCCCTAGGAAGACCTAAGAACTAGGTAACTAGTCGACAGACCGAAGGAAAAGTAGAAGGCGAACCTCCCGGCGGTAAAGGCGGTTCTCTACTTCCTTTATAAGTCCGGTAGGTTTATATGGTAGACGAGAGCTATCGAGTAAGGGGAAGCTAGAATGGAATAAGGACAGATAAGGATAAAGAAGGAAGAACTAATAGGAGACGGCTTATAGGTTTGCCGTAGAACTAAGTAGCCTAATTAATTGAATCAATTAATCAATTAATCAATTATGGGTAGACTATCGACGACTATTAGCTAGTGCACTTAATCACAAGTTATAGCATTAATCAGACAGTTAACAAAGATTGTTTACCAGTCTCCTGTAGCATTTTGCCGGTACCCGTGTGCAAGACAGGAATGCGAACTTAACTACTGAAAAGTGGCCTGTTACTAAAGCGCATTGCGGAGTATTGAGTAGCAGAAGTCAGGAGGGCTATGTGACAATAAATATAGCTTCTAGAAAGTAGCGACATCTTGACATAACCCGACTAGCTACAGCCTCAAAGTGTACCTGGGTTACTAGATCGAGGTTCAAAACAGAACATACTTTGTTTCGTAACTCGTGGCGGTGTAGGCAGACGGAAGTCCAGATTCCAAGCATTTGCAACGTCCTGCGCGCGCCGTTCGTTGTAACTCTGCACATCGCTACACTTGCAGTCTGTATGGTGCAGTGCTTGCAATTGCAAATCAAACAACTCTTCGCGCAGATCCGCAGCCCTTTGCTTTAATGCTGCATTGCGCTGCAGCTGCTCCTGGAAGGCCCTCTCCAGTTCATCTGCTTGAGCTCTCTCCTTTTCCCGACACCGAGCTGATGCCCGCCGATTCTTTGCCCGATACTTCGTAAGACGGTCGGTTGGAGGTGGTGTTGCTTGTTTTTTACTCCAATCTTTTCTTGGTCGGCCTCGGGGTCGAGTTTTGATGGTCTGTTCTGACCCCAGGGTTGTAGAATTCAAGCTGTACTTTGACTTGTTGTGTAGTGTCGATGCTTCTGTCGATTCGTTCACCTTTGATAGGTTCGTGGAGGCTGACGATGCAGGGAGCGTGGAAACCGACGATAGCGATGATACTGAGCTGAGAGTTGGCTCAAGGGTTGCCGGGAACGCTTCGATCATACCCGTGAGGGGAAGCAATGTTGGAAGAGCCTCATCGCGGAGACAGTCATCCGCGGTCGAAAGGTTCCACAATGGCAAGGGGTCGTTACAGTACGAGATGCAAGCCATAGCTAGATCTTCCTCAGGATAAAGTAACGCGCTAAGGTCGTGATTCATATTGGACAAAACCCTAGGGGCTTGATGGGTCGTGTCGAATGATGATTCAGCGTTGGACCAGACTTCTGATCGAGTCTGATACTGCAGAGCAACGAGAGCTTATATCAAGCATGGCATTCGCCATGAAGCCTCAACTATTGCTACGGCTATTCCGGCCATGCTCGATCGTCTCACCGAGCTCTGACAGCACCGAAGCGCTATCGCAACAGCCATGTCAGGTTTGGCCGCACATCAGAGTTTTCTGTCGTGCGTCCGCGCCCGCCTGATGTTTCGATTGGTCGCCTACACATGTCGCTTAATCACCGGAAAACCACGCATGGACTGGAGGATATCTGAGTTTCGGACCCTTGTTGCTAGAACAAGATAGCGGGTAACGGCGGCGAAAAACCCCCTTGATCGAGCCAATGGTCTCGAGATGCACCGCAAGTGGCGTGAAACATGCAAATGCAAACCGCCATCGAGCAGATTCTGCTCTAAGCCACGAAGACTTGATGTGGAGAATGTAATCTAGACTGAGATAGTACGCCGGTCGACCACCCAACCATTTCGACTCGTGGAAGAAAATTGGACAACCCCAGATCATTCATTCACCCCAAGTTTTGTGTGACGCACAGATGATTATTCCTGGCGTACCTCCGAGCTCAACACGGATGTAAACACTTGGCAGGGCTTATATATGTATGCTTTCTGCCAGGGCAGAATAAGCAGACCACCAAGACCCAGAAACTACACCTACGCTCCCTCCCGTAGCCATGCCTCGAAAAAGCTCGCATACAGACGAAAGTCTTGGAGACCTCTCCAAGCAACGTGCCAGCAAAGCTTGCAATCGCTGTCGAGCGAAGAAAGCAAAATGCTCAGGCGGATACCCTTGCTCGAAATGCAAATCTTCAGACGCTGTATGCATTTTTGGCTACGCCAGAAAGTCGAAACGCAAAACTTTCCCTGAGCAGTAAGCTGTAGTAATCTGCGTTCAATCTCTCCAACTAACCGATCAAGTTATGTGCGGGCTCTAGAGATGCAGCAGTTCAAGCTTGTGGCTGGACTTCAAACCATGTACTTCATGCTTTTGGCTGCAAACTCATGGCCAGGTCCTCAGCTCGCCAAACGCGAAGGTAATCCGCTTACTCACGACATCCTTGAAAGTCTTGGCCTTCTTGAGTCTGATCAGGATGAGGACTTGGAACCGGACATGGACGATGATGATTTCGACCAGCGTTTCGATCGCGGAGGAGCATCAATTATCGAAAGTCCTGAGCGTTCACAGCGCGATCTCGATCAGTGGCCGCAGTCAAGCTCTCAGGAACAGTCCGCCTCCCCGCCTGGCATGGTGCCTCAGCAGCAGGATCACTCACAGTGCAGTGGAACCAGGCCACATGCTGACTCCTGGTATCCTCAGCCAGTGCAACCAAGTGATGTTTCTTACCCCTCTACAGAACTGCCGACTGGATTTGTATTAAGGCCACCACCAAGAATGACCGCGCCGCTTCTAAGTACGTCGCCGTCCAGTAGAAGCATGGAAGGCACAAGATGGAAAGCCTCCAGTTGTCATGACGCATGGTGGCTCGAGGATTCCCAGCTCGCTCGAGAGATCCCGCAGCCGAATGTTGGTTTCTTACCAGGGATACCAGCAGCGCATTTGGAGCCTATTACGCACATCACAATGGCCCTTGCACTGCATGATCAAGACACATATCTAACAGATCCTGGGACATACGGTTGCGATTTCGATCTAGAATAATTATTGCTGTAGCGTAATCTCATGCTTTGGCTGCCAGGCAAAAATCCAGGATGATTAGAGCCAAGACTATATAACGTACTACTCCCTCCGGCTTCCCCGTGATGTTCGTGCAGATTTGCCGAAGCACAGATGACGCGGGTACTTGTTGGTCAGAGTCCTGGCTCAGAAGGAGGTCTGCCTGTCTGCGTCGTTCCGCGAGGTACTGCATCCCCTGGAGCTTCTTGATATGCTGCTAGTGGGGCAGACAGTAGATGGGATTGCTCGTCGGCAATTTGGACGACTTTCTGACCACCTGCTCTGCCATAACGCCACATGGGCCCGAGATCACAAGCATTACCGAAGTCGATCGGCGATTCTCAACAGGTTGGAGAAGCAAAGTCGTGATCAGACCAAGATTCAGATGGCATTGTGTGCATTCTGCAGATATTATACTTTAGGACTACCTTGGTTGATAATTAAGAGAGCCCGTATTCGAGATTATGAGAATCAACGATGTATGCTTCCAGCTCTCTGTCTGACTGCGCCCTGGTGCTTCTCGCTATATCGTTTTGTCGCACCATACTCTTCCATGTTGATATGCTCTGGCAGATCTGGAGGACCTCCAAGACTCGCAAGCACACACGGATTGTTAGCTGTCAGATCGTCCAAGGTCTCGAGTTCGTGCTTGTTAAACCACTTGGGGATGATATGAGTACGCAGCGGAATCAAAGCGATGATAATCACGGGAAAACCTAATAGAAGGGTTCATTAGAGCCGCACATGCTGATGACCAGTACGTCAACTCACCAATAGCAGCGATGGTCTGAGAGATGGCCACTGTAGCAGCCACGCCGAGACCCTGTAAGGCAAGCCAGAGCAGCAATTTTTTCTTGCTGACCTTACGAAGTGGCTCGTCCTTAGGCACGAAGCGCTCCTCTGACATGAGGTACATAAGCTTCTGAACGATAGTGTTGGATTCGATGGATCCCCACTGTACTGAAAGTTAGCAAGAATGATCCTTCAGGACTGTTGTGTACATACTCCGACGATGAAGAAGACCCCTGCGAAGATGGCCGCGGGCATAGTATGAAGCACAACGAGCAAAGGCCGTGTCATGGTTCCGACAAGCAAAAGACCCATAAGGAGATGGGATATGCGCTGCTCAACCACTGACTCTGCCCGTACAATAGGCCGTCTGATCTCGGCTCCTTCACCTTCTTCGGTGGAAATGACGTGAAGATCGGTCACATAGACTGTTAATGAATCGGTATGTACTGGTGCTTGCGGTACCAGTCCATTGGGCAAGGGGAGCCCAAGGATGCCAGCCACGAACGTGGTACAACCCAGCAGAAAGAAATCCCAGTGGAAACCGCCAGGCTTCTTTAGTGGGAATTGTCGTGCCTGAGCGCTAATACTGCTAATGTTCTGTGTGATTGAGTCAGAATCTCGCTCGCCTCCGATGGCAGTAGCGGGCAGAACTTACATGATCATAGTAGAATAGCAGCATGAGAAGGAACCCAAAGGGCACGGCTACAAAAACCCACTTGACATCGAGATGCCAGAAGTAAATCAACCATGATCGATCTGCTGTTGGATGGAATGACTTTGTGATTGGCAGATAGCTGATGTCCGTCCGCTTCAAATTTCCGGGAAAGTGCGAGAAGCCGACCCAGAAGACAGTACCGAGCTGATGGAAGTAGTTAGCACCAAAACTGACATTGGAAAGAGCGGCGGAGAACACACAGGATAGGCGTAATCAGCGAGCAGCCCACGAACAGTGGGTGTCCAGAGGGTGCTGCCACCCAGCTTCTCGAGCGCATAGACGGTACCGAAGTACAAGATGGCGATAATAGTACTCAGGTATCCTGCATTGAGACCGTGAGAGCTAAACTCAGCGACGAGTTCTTCAACTCCCTTGACTATCACATGCTTGGGTCAGAAAGGGATATCAAGACAAGGCACAAGATAACGTACTCATGTAGATGATGCCGACATACATGCCAAACGACTCGCTAGAGAAATCGGTGACGTATCGCATGTAGTCGCAGAGATTGCAGAAGGCTACGACCCAATGAAAGATCGCGGCCCATATAGCAGTCCAGCACATGAATTGAGGATATATGGATGCGTCATATTGAACGATGATGTCGTAGATGGTGTAGTTGAACAAGGCAATTAGGCCAGTAATCCCGACAATGGTAAGAGGTTGAGCGCCTAGAATACTGAATACTAATGCCGCCAAAGCGGATGTAAAAAGAGCCTCGTTGACGCCGTAGAATTGGCCTGTCTGGCGATACATGTCGAGTGTGTACGCCAAAGCAGGCAGAAGACTATTGACGCATAAGTAAAAGATAAAATGACATGTTTTGGCCATGACTTACTTGACAAAATACATCCGTATGGTACTAGCAACTGTACGATACGTAAAAGCATCTGTAATGTCGCTATAATAGTATGGCAATCGTCTCTTGACATCGTGATACATGCCCCAACCAGGACGAAGCGGCCGCCAACGCCTCCATCCGTGAGCGTCCTTGAATCCGTATTCCTCTAGAGCAGTCTGCTGAGTTGACTCTCCAGCACTCTTGGAATGGGATGACTTGGTTGACATGGCGAAAACTTGTAGGAGTTGTAAAGGGTTTGAGAACAGAAGTGAGAAAGTTAGGGAAGATGACGAGTCTGGCATTAGTCTGATATAAGGACGCAAGACAGAGTCCGGGCCCCGGGGCACAGACGGTGGAATGTTCCTCAGCCAAGCATCGATGACGGAACTGAGTCAGTCGCTAGCAGTATCGAGCCTAGATGTCAGGCGTTGTGGGTGCGAAACCGCTGAAGATTCACTCTGGGGATGCGGTAATTATGCAATTTAGAAGTACCCAAAGTCAAACGGCTGGGCAACGAGGGATGGATGTCTGCCCAAGCAGAATATTCTTTTGTCTGTGCACGTCACCACCCCTCGCTAGCAAATCACCGCTTAGGCTTTTTATCGAGTGTGCCTGTGACTCCAAACCATCTCTCCTGGGCAGGATACACAACTTCGTGCACTACATGTAGGTCGTGTGCGCCTGAAGTCAGAAAACGCTGTTGACGACCATTATACAACCCTGATTTACCATGCTAGTATATCGCAAGAGCATATAAGGAACGCCTAAGCTTACAAGTAAGCATTGTGATGGAAACCTCCCCCATGCGTCACGAGAATAGCGGCCTCGTTCTCACGCCGTGCTCAGAACATCTGCTGTTCTCACTCGCTTATCATTGCCGGCCCTGGCCAAGCGTACTATCCCCTCCTCTTTTGTATAAAGGTCTTGAAGCAAGTCAGCGATAGCACGCCCCTCTTGCAGATTGGACGCACATCCAAGTCTGCTACGGCCACTAGCCCAATGTCCAAGGAAATGTCGTCTTCTCATATCACAAGCACATTTACCTTTCCAGATGCTCCAGATACAATGCCCACAACTGAATACGTTACACCAAGGTTTTTTCACCAACACGGAGTCCAGGGAATTCTTCGTGTGGACGTTCCAGCAACGCAACCATGCGATATCGTCAAGATCACTTTACAAGGTGAATGCCATTCTCGACCTTTGGAGACACTGCTCTAATGTTTTCAGGACGTGCGCTAAGTAGAATAAGTCGCGGGCCATTGGAGCACGGCGTAACATCCATGACTTTAGCAAGTGTAAGATCGCGGGAATATACAGTACGTCACCACAAATCTCTCAGACTTCGGAATGCGCTGATGTCTACGACAGTTCTTGCAATTGACGGATATACATCACTTGAGTCACGTGGCAAGCTTTAAGAAACGCTTGTCCTACCAGACACCCTTCTGCTTTACTATACCAACAGCCTCGGATCCACATCATGATTTCTTCCAATTCAATCGATATGGGCTTCCGCCTTCGATGCATGCCTCGGGCGTGCCGCACGCTTGTTCAGACGAGAGCACAAGAGCGTTGCTGGAAGTTGTCTACGAGCTGAAGGCGCATGTGTACCGGCACGATCTTCTAGTGTCTACAGTAACCCAGCCCATCCAGGTCTTTCCGTCGGCATCTTCAGTACCTCCACCAATCGCTGTCGATGATCACCGGGAGGTGTATGCCATGACATGCGCGCGGACGCTTCGAAAGCTGTTCTCGAAGGCAGAAACACTGGAAATCAATCTAACAGAGCCTGAACCAGTATTGCTTCACACGGACGAGCAGTGTGCCTTCCATCGCATCCCTATTTACTGGAAACTATCTCACTGCGCTCAAGGGCTACCGCTTCTGTGTGCTAAGATGACCTGGCGACTCAAGTCAACTACCATCGTTTCGACGATCCCCCTACAAGCGACGAATTCATCACAGCAGCTAACATTGTGCCCTTCCTCAGTTGAGGTAGTCCATGCATCATCTGAGAAGTCGACAGATCTCAACCTCACAGGTTGGGTCGCCCGCCCGGGCAATCTCAATGGGAGAATTTGGGAATTGACTAATAGTGTATGGCTAACGATTCCTCAACCAAAAGACGCCGTACCGTCCTGCTTCGGCCCTCTAGTCACTCGAAGATACAGTCTAGAGCTGTCTTTGAAGGTAAAAGGAGACAGGAAAGCGCAGTTTTGCTTCGAGATACCTGTTCAATTCGTGTGGCTCGTATCGATCCGTATGCAATCAACGGTCGAACTGCAATCGGACTGCCCAACATACACTAGATAATTTCTGTAAAACCACTAATTCATCATATGGAAATGGAAACACGCTTGACGATCGATCAGGTCCATGAGAGATGGTCAGTTTAGAGATGTGGAACAAAAGTGGTGGATACTCTACTGGTGGCAGGGAAGATATTGCTAGAGTGCCAACACAGTTTAGAATGAATGATAAAGGTGAGATTTTTTGTGAACCGAAGAGACAAACATGACTTAATGATACCTATCGCAGCACTGGCATGAGTGGATACAGACAAGCAGAACGACGAAGAGCGGCGTCTAATCCTCGCAAGTAGCACGACATTCGGCCTAACCTCTGCGATAAAGCCAGCAAAATTCACACTTACAAGTAGCACAACTCATGTGGTTATAGCCTTTAGTTAGTTCGATCATCTAATTGCACTAGGGATAACGCTTAGACGTACCGTAGTTAAGAGCACTTAGGACAAGCTTAGTTATCTCGTTAGTCTAGCAATGGCCGCTATAGGTAAGAGAAAGGTAGAGTCTATAAGTCTAGGCAGAGTAGGTAGAGCATATAATGTCCTATTTAGAGTTAGCGTTAAGAGTTAACGGTAGAGAGTAAGTTAGGCGTATATAGTAGAGAGTTAGATGTAAACTAGAAGCCTAGTCGCGTTTACGTCTTAAATTACCTAATAGTAATACTTATAATGCTATACTATTAGTAGTCTACTATTTAACTAAGTTTTACTACGTTATTCCCTATAAAAGTACTTATAACGCTAAAGAACTAGCCCGCCTATTCTATAATAATATCTAGAAACTTTATAGCTTACCTAAATCTATTATCTCTAACTAAGGATCTTAATTTATCTCTACCTTCTAGAAACACCTTTATTAAATCCTAAATATAAGAGTATAACTATTAACTACCTAGTACTCTAAGTCTAATAGATAAACTAAGAGAATAAACGCTATTCTTAAATAATACTTATAAGCCTACGTATCTTACTTATAGAACGACTAGATAGACTAGCTAGCCTCTACTAAGTTTATAGGAAATAGTTAAGTATCTAAGACTACCTAAGTCTTACTATTCTTTATACTATACGGTTTTAAGCCTAGGATAGGTTTTAAACTAATCCGCCCTAGAGATTACCCTATAATAAGAGACGCTACCCTATTTATAGAATAAATATAAAAGATCTATAATTTCTACTATACTAAGATAATCGCTATCTAAGCCTACTAGAAAGAATAAATAAATAAATAAGAAAAGGAAAGCTACTTACTACTACTACTCTAGTAAGAAAGTCTAGCTAAACGCTAAGAATATATAGACTCTATAACCTTAGAAGAAACTTAACTAAATAGATAATTAGGTCTTACGCCTATAAGCTATAACTCCCTATAACTATAAAGATATACCCTATATCTAATTTATACCTATTACGCCCTACTACTAAGGACTTCCTACCTAGATAACATTAACTACTACTACTTCCTATTAAAGTTAAAGGCATAGATTAATAAGAAGTTAAGAAGATTATTAACTCTTACTAGGACTACTAGTTAAAAAAGAACCCTTACCTATACTATAGAGTTAAGTAGGTTAGATATATAGAACACTCTAATAAGCCTACTCGTTACCTAGTAAACGCTTCTAAGCTAGTAAGAAACTTCTACTATTACTACCTAGATAAACCTAGACCTAATAAACGTTTTATAAGAGTTTTAACCTAAAAGAGGAAATACTATTATAGCGCTTACCTATAAGTAAGCGTTATAATGGCTAGGGTAGCCTACGTAGTATTATTATAAGAGTTATAATAGCTATAGGCTAGTTATAGAAGGCTATAACGAACGCTATAAGTGCTCTAGCTACTTAAGTAACTCTAATAGGGTTATATAAGAGATAGAACTAGGGTTCTACTAGAGAATAGTTATATAGCCTATACTACTTTTATTTTTATAGCTCTTTAAGCTACGTCCTATTATTAAACCTACCTATTAGTTTTACTACCTAACTATAAATAGCCTATTAAATACTACTATACTTTATATAGCTACTCCTTTTACTATATACCTAACCTACCCCTATAATAGTCCTTTTATATACATTTCTTATAAGTCTTTTCTTTTCTACGTTTATATACTTTTATTATAGCTAACTATTCTAGGGAGAATAACTAGTTAAGGGATTAGACTCGTAAAGGGGAGTGTTAAGTAAGTAAGTAAAGTAAGTAGTATAATATATAGTAGTATATACTAGAGGGACTATTAGAATAACTAATTAAGTTAAACGTAGGACCTCTTACTAAGTTCCTACCTACCTATATACTTACTAGCTAATAAGTATATATATATGTTGCTCTATATGCTCTATTAATCTATATAATCTAGAGGGAGTAGGGAGATTAAGGAATCGTATAGAGTAGGGTATATAAGGTAGCTACCTCCTATAGTATACTTTATAGAGTTCCTAGTTCTTAGCGGAATCCTTAGAGTAGGATTCCCTATCCGGTAATAATTGTTATAAAACCCGTTACGCTTAACTTAGCTTATAACAACTTTCTAATTACTATTACTATATATAGTATTATAGAGTATATAAGCTATTTATAGCAAATAAAAAACGTAAGTTTTTAGCTTTTCTATAAAAGTCTTTACTAGCGTAATTAGGAAATCCCTATACTACTAGTTTACTAAGTATTTCCCTACTAGATCGTTAAGTAAATAACTCTAAACAAATATCAATATTAACTTTTCTATACTATTCTATATACCTTATACTATTCTACTTTATACATGTAGATATAATATAGAAGGCGCGTTTATCTATATAATTATCTTCTTAAAACATATAGTTATTATATTATAGTAAATAGTCTAATAAATACTATTTAAAACTCTAGATAGTCTAATAATTCATATTTAAAACTTTCTAATTAGCTAATTAGTTTTATAAGAAAGGACCTTAGGGGTTACTCTATAAAGAGAACACTCCTTATATATATGTTAAATCATATATATAACTCGATAACTATAGCAGATATAGAAAGGATTAGTAAATCAATATCTGTTATATCGGTGCATTCTATAATGTTATTAAAAAATATTAAAGGGTTTATTCGCGCGTTATCGAGATACCTACCTCGCGCGCCCGACGCCCGACTTTCTCTGTTTCGCAACGCCCGTATAGACAAGCTAAACCTCTCCTTGCCGGGGCCATGGTAGTTACTTACAGTCAGTTGCTTACAGTCGACACGGCGAACTGCATGCGGGATTCGGAGATGCGGAAGCAAAATTTATACCGTATCTCCGCTAGCAGAGCTGCGAAGCTCACAACTACACGCACGGTGGGGACGCAAGTGCCTTAACACAAGAAGTTGCCGCTGTAAATCAAAATTGTCATGTGATGAGGATGAAAACAGACGTCTCCTTTAACTAAATCATGCATCGGTCTATTTAAGGCCGTGGAGTGTTTAGGATCTCGGTACTATGTGCCACCGGCTCCTCCTGATGCAATTGGATAGAGGCTGGGAATCGACTGTATAATCGTTAAGAGAAGGAGGTCCTGCCAATACTCGCTGCTAACTTCTGAAATACACGTAGTAAAGACAGGCGGCATCTTATTGACTCGTAAATATTGTGAAGGGAGGTGTTTCAAAGCATTGCCTATCTGGGTATTGTTCTATGGAAGAGAAAGAAACTACTTCTTGTCGTACTTCAATGTATCGAGATGTCTCTACCATATTCCGTCGCTGACCTTCGGCAACACTACAATTCCTGCTTAAGCAATGATTTACGGCTTTGCGTACCTGCCGAGCTTCTTGGACGCAAGACCTTTGCTGCATGTCTACCTACATGCACGTTGATCTTGCCGTGGGGTAAGACAGTGCCGACTTTAGCCCCAAACAGACGGACGTCGTTCTCCCGAAGGCCTTCGGCGTAGGGTTTTTCAGTAGCGTTATACCAGTTGAGTTTGTTGAAGATGTTTGCACGCTGCCCTTGCGTCGGAAGCATCCAGGATGGCCTTGGAATCCTTGTCCCTCATTCGGTGAGCCCAAAGATCATGTATGTTCCACTCTTGAGCCACTTGAGGCGCCGTACCACCGACGCCTTCGGATACGAAGATCTCCTCCAAGGAAGCTTCCATGTCCACATCATTGTTGGCAGCATTGAGGAAGATCACAACTTGATCACCGTTGGCGAGAGGTCCGCTCCAGACGTGTGTTTCCCGATGCCGAACTGATCCTTCGCGACTGTGGTGTTTCTGGAGACACGATGGACTGGGCGACCACATGGGTCTTGCGAGATTGCTATGATAGCGGGATTGTTTACGATAGACAGGGTCTTGGCCGACATGGCACGAAGGTCGTTTCCAAGAAGCATTGGTGACCTCAAGGCAGCCCACATGGCGAAATGAGCTTTGTACTAATGGCGATGTCAGTTGGGTGTTTAGGTGCTGCAACCCGCAATTGTAACTGACCTCTTCATCTGACATGCCTCCAAGTCCGACCTCAAGCATATCTAGATCATTCCAGGCGCCGGGCATTCCACGATCAATATACGGAGCGACTTTGTTCAGAATGGCGAGTACAGAACAGTGAGTCCCCGGTGCGATACAGTGCGGGTTTGTGGCATCTCCGCATCCGCATAGCTCGTCCGGGCGAGCGAACGAGTCATAGATGTCTCCAGATACACGCCAGGAGTTTGCAATCGAACCACCCCACTGAAAGATTCTGGTCAATCGCTGTCTTTCAGAAGCATGAAGACGACTTACTGTGTGGACAAAATCTTCTTCCCAGCTGCAAAGACTGTATAGGATTGACCTGCCAGTCTCTTTCAAGGCTTTTGCCATCTCGTTATATCGATTGAAGGAGATCAAAGGCGTACCCATGCGACCCATGTGGTAGCAGTTGTCTTTCACACCTTCAGCAATGGTTGTTTTGCTTTTGTACAGCCGCGACGGATGCTCACCGTATTTGAGGTAGTCAACTCGCCACGGAGCGAAGCTCTCGGCATCCTGCTCCTCATGATCCAGTGATCCAGCTGCGAGGAATATCAGTAATGCAATCTACTGACGACGTACGCTGAGCTTACGATATCTTGCACAGGTGTATTCTCCAGCCGACGAATACATGCCGAACAAAAAATTATCGTCGTAAAGACTGTCGGCGACGCTCTTCATGCCATTTGGGAACTTTGATTCGTCCACAGCCAAGTATCCGTCCGCGCCTCGCTTCTCGCTCCAGCAATCGTCCAAGACCACGTAGTTGTAGCCCAAATCGCGTAGTCCGGTGTCTATCATGATTCTCGAAGTCTCAAGAAGCAAAGGCTCGGAGACATCGCATGCGAAAGTGTTCCAGTTGTTCTGTGACGAGATTCATAAGTCAATTTTGAAGCTGCTGCGGTCTATCCGTGAACGGGGACATACCCATCCCATCTGAGGAGTTCTTGCCAGACCATTCTCAACTGCGCTTACAGCCGCCATAAAGACGAATGCATGAATGATGATACCTTTTCCCATGTTGCTCCAGGTGACGGTGCTGAGTTTGTTCGACCTTTAAGAGAAAGCAAAACAGGTCTTGAAGACAGACAGAACGACTTGGGTGCCACAAGAAAACAGTTTTGAGCCCCGGAATGACGACGCGATCATGATATCAGATGGCCGGCGGCATTGGAAACGGCGGGATTAGCTGAATAGGCGGCATCAGCGGCATCAGCGGCTTTGGTGGGCTCGGAACGACGAGCTCGACGGAGAGGCGGAACTGACGGAGATGGTGGAACTCGGTCGAACGTAACCGGCCAGCGGTCCTACGCTGGAACCTGGAGGCCCGCTGGATTCATCCTGCCGTGTCAGAAAGGCTGCTTGACGGTAAAGGCGATTTAAGTCGTTGAAAATGCCATTTCGCCCTTCGAGTGATTTTGGGTCACGAAGCACGGCATCATGCAGCATGAATCGAAGAACAAGCTGCCAACTCTTATGTATGTACTCATCGAAGGAGTCGGCATGAGAGCGATATCTGGAATCCTCGGCCAAGTCTTGACGGCAGTACAGAAAAGAAAGGTATGCACTTCCAATGACACAGAGTGAAAACACAGCACTATACATGACTAGACAACACTTACTTGTGACCATATCTCTGTCCTTCAGTACATGCTTTTTAGCGCAATCACCACGACACCGAACTACCTTTGGCAAAGCTGGATGGAGAATAGATGGCCAAGCACAGAAACAAGACAGAAGAAGGGAGGCAGGAAGATGCCTCATATCAGCGTCAGTAATGTTGTCGTAAAATTCATCCTCGATCAGACTTTGGGATCCGTGGTTAACACGATGCTGTACTTTGTTGTCATGGGGCTCATCAAGGGGTCAAATTGGCCGTCCATCCTCGAGGACATCCAGATGGTAAGGACATTGCTTTGTAGTGATAGATTTTCATCGACGGACACGCGTTGCTGACAAGACGTCAACAGAACTTTGGAAACCCCCTACTCGCCGGATATCGATTCTGGCCTTTCGTCTGTCTGTTGAATCTGATTCTCGTTCCGATAGATTTTAGGTCTTTGGTTGGATCTCTATCTGGGCTCGGATGGAGTGTTTTTTTGAGTCTTCGATTCGATGAAAAGCGGTCACTAAAGGATGGTCACGACGGTAGACACGGTCATTGAGGCGTCGCGAAGGGACTGGACAGCAAAATAAGGCTGACACTTTCTGGAGGGTGGCGTTGGCGGAGGTGGGAAAAACGAGACGCCAAAAGCGGGATAAAGTTTCGTGTAATGAATTGCATTCCCGCCTCGCCCGCCCACTCGCGCTCTCCGACTCTCCGCCATTGCCCTCTAGCTTTACTCCGCCCGCCCCGGCGGTAAATCAAGACATAGCGGGCTCGATTCAATGCGTGCTCCAAGTGCTTGTCACTTTTGTAGGTATGCTCACTGGAATGATGCACGGAGCGTGTCGGTCTGAGCGCTGACATGAGCTCCCCAGGACGCGACGGCGCAAGTGCGACCGGGACGAGAGTCAAGGTCAACAGACGTGCTCACTGTGTCGCAAGCACAACGTGACATGCACTACGACTGCATCTGTCCACTCGAGGCCACGTCCATATCCTCAGACAGTCGCAAGCTCGTCAGCACCAGACTCGATAATCCAACGAGTCACTGCCCCATGCGCGTCTGGTGAACAGCAAGCACCCGTCTGCTCGCTACCAGCGCCAATTCAACAGTCTCCTGCTTCTGCCAACTTGCCGTCTTCTACGACGTCAGATTCAAATCAGCTCTCTGTGTACGAGATACCCTTTGAGCAATATGGCGCTGACCACCTGGGTGTCCTACCCCCTTCAGCAGTGTGCAACCACCTTGTCAATCTATATTTTGACTACATTCATGATCAATTCCACACATTGTTCCAAAAACCTGCATTCATGGCCGACCTGGCTAGCGACAGAGTGCCGACGGTTATCTTGCTCGCCATCATCGCACTATCAGCACGTTTCTCGCCTCACGGATACTTCAATGGCTCGAGTCCTCGCACCCGAGGTGCGCAGTATACAAGAAGAGCCGCCCAATTGCTTGATCCGAGCGATGTCAGTCTGACTTGCATACAAGCATGCGTCTTGCTTGGGGCGTGTCGCATCGTTGAAGGAGATTCTGCTGGTGAGGCTGTCTACTATGGCATGGCCTGTCGCATGGCTCAATTGCTTGATCTGGCTCACTGTCCCGCCACCAGCCGCCTGGACAGGGAGCTCAATGTTCGTGGTACGTTGGCTTTCTTCCTGTACAATCATGTCGGCTTGTCTCCGCGTGAGCATTTGTCACAACCGTAATAAAATCGGCTTGGCTGACATACGTACGCAGTCTGGCATACACTTGTCATGATTGATGAATGGTCGTCCTCGGGCGTGGGTGTACCACGACAGATTGCGAATCCACCAGAACACGTGCCTTTGCCAATGGAAGAGATGGGCTTTCTGGGACTGCGGCGACAAGACCAACTCTACACTTTGACCCAACTCCACCACCAATTCCAACCGTCGTCCTTGCTCGGTCAGATGATCGTCCTCAATGGTATCTTCCGCCGAGTCAACAAGATGAACAGTCAGGTTGCACAAAGTCATAGCTCAGCACCAGACATCACTGCCATAAGCGACCTGGCCAATCAGCTTGATACATGGGAGGCATCGTTACCTGACTACATGCGAGACAACAAAGCGAATCTCGCACATTACGCTGCCCAAGGTCTTGGTCGCATCTTTGTTGCTGTCTATCTCGGCTATTACCACTACGGTCAACTGCTCATGTACCAGTTTCTTCACCACGATGCTAGCGACGATCCCACCATCACCTCGTTTTCTCGACGCTGCAAAGATCATGCTCAAAAGCTCTGCGATATGGTCTATGCTGCTTTGGACACACCGGGTTGTGACGTTCTCTACAATATGGTGGGCCATGTTCCTGTCATCGCTTCCACTGTACAGATTCACACTCTGCTATTCTCTTCCGAGAGTTCGGAGATCGATGCTGCTCGTAGCCGCCTTGAACGGAACTACACCATACTACTTCGACTCCGCGATCTCTGGCCCTCGCTCGACTTCTGCATTATGCGACTGCAAGTTTTCCACAAAGCTTGTGTGACTTCAATGGAGACATCGTTCAGACTTGATGAATGGATGCTGAAGTTCTTGTCCGAGTTTGCAAAACCTGTCAAGGACAAACAAAGCGCAGGCGATGCTGAGACAAACGGATGGGCGATAGGTGACATTGCCATTACTCCTACATCAGATTTCGGCTTGGATTCCATCACAGCGATTCTCTTTACAGCGCCAACACTATAGGCAATGACACAACAATCGACAGATGTAGCAGCTTTTCGTGGACTTGAGTGTCAGATTTCAAACCCGAGCATGTTACATACATTTCACTCTGCAAAGCCGTCAATCCTCCGTCGCAATATCAATCGTCTCCCAGCATAAATTCCGTTAGACTTTGAGCAAGCCTCTCGGGCTTCTCGAGCGCAAGACTGTGGCCACATTCTTCGAAGATCTCTGATCTGTGCACTTTTTCCGCAAGCCGAAGGATGCTTTCTTCAACCAGAGGCCCAAAAAATTCTGGAGCGCCAATCGTCATTGTCCTTACATGGAGCTTGCCTCCCTTTTTGAGCAAAGCGCGATGATGTGCTGCATTCGTGAAACCTGCGCGATAGGTCTCCAGTATGCCTCTGAGACCGCCTGGTTGCATTGAACAGCTGACCCAGTGCGCCAGTGCTGTCGACTCGATCGCAGTCGGGTTGTAGCATTCTTGTCTCATGAACATCTCCCAGAACTCATGCTCGTGACCCTGGATGAGCATCTCAGGGACGTGAGGGATCGAAAAGAGGCCAAGGTGCCAACACCAGATACCCTTCTGACGGTATTGAGCTGTCACGTTTTCTTCAGTCCAGTAGGATGTCTCCTCGAGCCCGAAACCGGAAACCATCATCTCACAGAACGACAAGCTTTTGACACGGTCGCGGCATGTAGCTGCAAGAGCATATGCAAAGTCTGCTCCGCGATCTTCGCCGTGAACATGGAATTTATCGATCCCGAGAAAGGTCATGAGCTCGCTAACATCCTGAACATTTGTCGCGGAATCGTACCCGTCGGCTGCGGGCGGCTTGTCGGAGTAACCAAAACCTCGCAGGTCAGGCGCAACAATTGTAAAATGCTCGGTCAACAGCGGAATCAATCTATACCAGTAGTAACTCGTCTTCGGAGTCCCGTGCAGCAGAAGTAGCGCCTCGGATCCTGTGCCAGCGCGAACATAATGCATCCGAATCCCATTGACTCGAGCGCGCCCATGTCTAACGGCCTGTCCGGCATGATCGTACATCTCCATGGTTGTAGATTGATTCCGTGAGATATAGCAGTTCCTGTAGGGCAGAAGCAGAAGATACAGCACTAATCCGGACAAGAGAAAGCTCTTATATGTTTGTCGCAAAGAGCAAGAATAGGGAGTGACCCCGCATAACTAGAAGTAGAGATGTGTAGCGCTCGGATATCACTCGGTCGCAAACCTCGGCGATGGCAAATCTTGTTAGTAACGAATCCTATTAATTATGTACTTAGCTTTAGTAATGATTGAACTAGCTATATTAATAGTAAGACTTAAGTTACTACTAAGTATATAGATATATACTAATTATATAGAAAGCTAGGTAGTCTCTAGAATGAGGTAGAGTTTACTATCTATATTTCCTACTAGCTAACCTATAAAACGTCACGCCTCTATAGGCTACGAAGCCACACGGGGCCACGGAGAGCTTTACTCCGAACTACACGTCATTATTCGTTCCTGTAAGAAGACCCCGAACACTCAACGCATTCTGTCAATTTTTAGCTAGGCTACCGCATGCTTTAAAACGGAACATTGACCGACACACAAAGCTGGCTGCATCCATCTGTTAAACTCTCGCGTCATGAGCGATTCTTATGACAAGAATGAAGGTCACCCGAAGCGCATCCAGATTGCTGTCGCATGCACTCGGTGTCGGAGTCGCAAAACCAAGGCGAGTCTCGGTCGCAAATCGATCCGTCAAACACAGGATCCCACTTACTGACTCACGGCGAAGTGCGATGGCCTAAGGCCGGCATGTTCCAGCTGTATGATGCGCCGACAATCCTGTGTTTATACGGCGGAACCTGATGCACCGCCCATCGTCTCCTTGAAGCGCAAGTTTGAGGCACTGCAGAAGCGACATGACGAAGTCTCTCGATTATTGGATCGACTGAAATCGGGTTCGCCGGCCGATGCGCATGAGCTTCTCGAGAGTCTTCGACGAGGTGAGCTGGACGAAGCCTCGACTATGGGACCCGCAGGACCGACGCCCGCATCCGATTTCCGTGGTAGCCAATGGATTCCCGGCATTGATCATAATCATCGGAGTTGTGTCGTTTCTCTACCTCCATTGAGCGAAATACTGTATGTTTCACAAAAACGCTGCCGTAGTCTGTGTCAATCCCTGACTGTTTCAGTGGTCCGAGTTATCAGCGGCCTGGCTTGGAGCCACCACCGGCGATATTGCCGCCTATCTTGAATGGACCGGGTGCTAAGCTTCAAGCAAGTCTTTTTTCCGTGCCGGTTCATGTTGTAGACGAACGCCTCAAGCATGCCAGAGCTTGTGACTGGGATGTGTCATATGTCGACGACCAAGGATTTCGCAATATTCTCTCTTCGTATCTGACTTGGGACCACCACGGACACCGTCCTTTTGACGAAGATGACTTTCTCGATGGCTTGATCAAACGACCTACAGATACCTGTTCAGAGATCTTAGTGCACACCATCCTGGCTTATGGGGCAGTAAGTCTGAGTTTGCCCTTGTGTTGTGTTTTGCTTGCAGCTGATGCGCTTCTAGTTCAACTACTCCCACGTCGATCCTGATCGTAGTCCAGTCATTTTTCAAGCTGCTTGGTCCAGGGCTCAAGAACTCTGGAAGGACAATATCGATAAGGAGAGCAGCATTAGCTCTGCTGCAGCCAGCATGATAATGTGGTCCGTCCACACTTTACTTACCGACGATGACCTTGGCATGCCCTGCTTACTGGAAGCACGACACATAGCGCACAACATGGGACTGTACGATGCCAGCCGTGCTGATCGTGTATACGATCCTCTACAGCCACGGCGGTCGCGAGCCAGGGCAATTTGCGCCTGGGGCATCTACTCTTGGATCAAGTTAGTGCTGCTCTCCATTCTGACAGGTCAGCTGCTGACGTTCTTCCAAGCTTGAGCGAACTCGCATTTCGGACTGATATGAGCTTCGACTCACCTCCGCCTATCGACCCGCCATGCGCTTCTGTCAACGCCACGGAAGACTGGTCACCGTGGCCATGGCCGCGTAGTGGAAGGCCTATTCCTATGTTGAAAGTCGAGACCTTCGTCGCCCAATCTCGCTTGAGCCTAATCATAAAGGAGATCGTGCTGTTGATTAGACAAAGCTCGAATTTGCTGACCCCGGCCTACCAGAAAGCTACACTCGTGCTTTACCAACGTATACAGAAGTGTTGGAGCTCGATAGATGCGGCTTTGAAAGTTTTGAGTGAAAGCCCTCCCCATATCCTCTACCTTAAGTAAGTCAAGATCTTTTGGTGGTGGTGTCAGCCGGACTGTCGTGTGTTGACTGTATTAGCGCCCTCTACAACTCAGCAGTGATCGAGTTGTTGCGTCCTTTGACAACTACGCCTTCGCATCCCTCGCCACATGCAGCGCCCCTGGAAGCGGCTGGACTGGCTGTTGAGCCGACACTATCATATGCCGCGTCTGCAACACAATCGCAGCGTATCCTCTACAGGTTCTTCGATGAGCTATACGGCCAAGGTCAGGTGGTAGTTCTCCTTACGGCTTTTGTCGTTGCAGTCGCCTTCGAGATACTTCCCGTGTACGAGATTTCGCCAGACGCCCGATTTGACTTCCTCGTCGCTATGAGAGTCATCTATCACGGTGCCAAGCAGTTTCCAGTACTCCGATACGCAGCGTTAGGAATTGAACGAGCAGCTCATGACATGGATCTCATCTTGCTGGACAAAGTGGTAGTCATGATGCAAGAAATTCGGGAGATGATCGCGAGCGCAGATCAAGATGGCGGCAGATCCAAATGGGTCGTGAATTTCAACGCAGATGAATTAGGAAGCCAGGAGTCGAGGCTAAGCAGTGTCATCGACCAATTCAGACAGATGGAGATTGAAGGTAAACCTAGTTAATGGCCGTAATTCTGGTCCTGATGTTCAAGACTCTGTTGCGAGCCGTACAGCTCGTCGGAGTTAGCGAAATTCCTGTTGGAAAAAATATCAAAGGCGACGTGGTCACGACAGATGACAGTTCGCTTTACATATGTAGCACAACTCCGAGCTTTCCAAGAACACGACGTCGCAATGCGATTGGATGACAATTAGACTTGAATCTGTTTGTGGTAGAGAGCGGAAACGGACACTGACCCCGCATAGCTAGAAGCGGAAATGTGTAGCGCTCCGAAATCGTTCGGCCACAAGTCTCGTCCGGTCGCAAATGAGCATTTTTCTACGCCTGCCTTCCCGTCTCCACCTTAGACGTGGAAATATTCAGCAGATCCGTGGCCGGTGCTCAGCAACTTGGCCCTCACATCTTGTCTGCATGTACAATGCCCGAGTACGCAGCAAAGCATCACGGCCTCGGGCTGCAGTAGAGCTCTTTGGAAGGCGCTAATGAATTCAGCACATCGGCATCGTTGATGGTACCAGTACGGATCACTCTGAGAGCGGGCTGAGACTCGGGATGAACCCACATGATACAGCTGCATCTTCCACAAGCATACGATGTCATGGTGTTTGCTGAGTCTGCAATTCGTTTGAACGTATCGCTGGTGCCGGAAAGGTGCTTGAAGTTGGAGCACTCACTGCCAGGTCCTCTCTTGAGGCTCTCTTCGAAAGGGATACGACAATCAGTTTACGGCATGATCCATGAGGACCGCGAATGTGTTACCGTTATATCCTGGTGTTTTCTTGCACCAACCACAGTGGCAGAGACGCTGCGCAGAGAAGTGAGTAGTGAGTCGAAACTTTGAGCATAACTTTCGGGCAGGGTTTGGTCGACGTCGAGATTGGTCGGAGCGATGATGTAATTGTCCAAATTCGACACGGTCAAGACCAAGTCTCGACTGCTCTCTCCTCGCACCCAACCATGTCGAACTGGCTTGTCTCGCCGTCAATTGCCATAGCTTCGCATCCGTCCATCTGAATGGGAGTCATCTTCCTAGCCGCGTGCGCCGCCGTCGCCCTCTGGATCGCCCACGGCGCGTACAAGATCTTAGTCTATCCCAGATTCAGTCCTTACCGCCATCTGCCCTCGCCTGATCAAGGCCCCATATGGAAGCGGCTGTTTACCGAGCCCGACACGTTCGACTTCCTCCGATGGGCCGACCAAGTGCCCAACGACGGCCTGATCCGCTACTTTGGCATCCTCAACGATGAGCGCCTGCACGTCACCAACACCCAGGGACTGGTGCAGCTGCTGCAGAAAGACACATATCTCTACAGGAAGGCCAGCGCTCAGGGTCAGCTCGTCAAGTTCCTTGCTGGCGACAATGTCGTCGTCGCCGAAGGCAGCAAGCACAAGGTCGGCCACACCACTCTCGCCCTCGGCCCGCCCAACCCAACCCATCTCGCTGACCATCCTAGACTGTCCGCAAAGGACTGCAACCCGCCTTCAGTCCCGCTCGCAAGCCCCATTGGTACCAGCTCTTTTCCACCACTGCCCTAGACCTGGTTCAAGCCATCGACCACCAGAACACATCGGGCAGCGACCAACCCGCCATCAATCTCAGCCGCATGCTCAGCCAGATGGGCCTTGACACGATTGGGAAAGATTGCGTCGGCACGGAATTTGATTCGCTCAGGTCGCCCAGAGGCGACAAGACGTTGGGCTACCTCAAGCTATTCAACACCAGCGCCAACGCCCACCTGCTCGAGATTATCATGCACCTGTTTCCCTTCTGGTTGCTCGAAGCTCTTCCCTTCAAGGCTGTCCAGTATGCTCGCAACATGACGGGTCGGGTGAAGGAGACTGTCCAGCATGAGGCAGTCCAGGACATGTCGGCCCAAGATCATGGACAAGAAAAGGAAGACATGAACGACAAAAACATGGTCGATTGCATGAGGCGCGATCTGCTGTCGCCTGAGCAGGTTATCAACAACGCTCTGACCATGGTAACTGCTGGTCACGAAGAGATTGGCACTGCTCTGACCTGGGTCGTCTACTTCCTGATTCTCTATCCCCAGGTCCAGACTCGACTCCGCCGCGACATCACATCAACCCTGGGCGACGCGAATGACTGGAAGGACAAATGCTTCACCGAGGACGACTTCAACAAGCTCCCCTACTTGCGCGCCGTCATCAACGAAAGCCTGCGCCTCAGGCCCAACGTGCCCGTCATCTGGCGCGAATCCACAACTCCCTCCACCCTTCTCGACACTGCCATCCCACACCGCGGAACCGTCATCACAGCGTCGACTTGGGCAATGAACAGGAACGCCGACGAATGGGGTCCAAATGCGACCGATTTCAGCCCCGACCGTTGGCTGGACGATGTCAATGGAGGAGCAAAGTCGGCCTTTTCTTTCATGACTTTCGGCCAAGGCCCTCGTAAGTGTATTGGTGAAATCTACGCCAGAACTCAGATGGAATGTGTCCTCGCTGCTTTGGTCGACAGCTTCGTCTTTTCCAGTGCCCTCAGACTCGACGACATTGCCCCCAGTCAGGGAATGATCACAGTCAAGGTCTGGCAAGGCTTAAGAATATTCGCTCAGCCCGTCGAGCGAGCACCATAGTCATTATGCCGCATGCTGCCTGATGAGTTTCGACTGGATCGCTGTGAACTGCAATCACACCTGCGATTCAAGGCAGTCATTATGGTTACCAAGATTGCCTCCCGTGGCACCGAGGAGATGCGAATAGGCAATTAGTCTCTGGGAATACATTGAACGTGGCAGCCAGGATCAGCTGACGCAATCAAGCATTCGTCAGCGATAAGGCAAAAGCTTAGCGAGCTTGAAATGTGGGATCCAACCGTCGCGACAGTATTCCCGGAGGATTCACGATCGCTTCACTGGACTCCAGCCAATCGCGGGTCCGAGGCGTCCGGGGACTGCGATTTCATCACTGTCATTTTGTCGTGTCACGCTGCTGACTGTTCCTCATCGCCGGGCTACGATGCTCCAACGACACGCTCTCATCGACTTTGCTAGATCAACACTGCCTACCTGGTATACAAGGCATCCACTGAGCTGTCGAAGAACGAGATGGTTGTCAAACAAGACCCTGGCTACTCGTCCATCCTTATATTTGTCGACTGTGACCACGATATGTGCCTTGCATAGTCTCAGCATGTACCGTGGTGCCAGTCGAGTCGGCGATAAGACTTCCTTCCTTGATTCGCCGCCTCAAATTCGCTCAGCGTTGTTATCTTCCCTGTCGCTACTCACTATTGGCTCGGATCCAGGATTCTTAGGTTCTACACAGTCGCTTACTCCTGAGGGTGGTGATTCCACGTACGCGTCTGTGGATCGCGTTCGAGCTCATAAACAATATTTTGGAAAGAGTGGCTGGTCTCGTGCTCGCGGACACTCGCGGGAGTGATGCTGCGAGGCCTTTTCTTATTTATTGTCGCGCTCCCCTGCAGATGGCCTTTGGGCGTACTGAAAATATTACTGGGTCAGACTCTTTCTCTTCTTCCGTGTCACGAAGCGTTCACTGTCCTTGAGGACTCATCTGCAATATGTCGGACCTGGGAAATCCCACCCCAGCTTGGCTGAACACTGGTGACAACGCGTGGCAGCTCACTGCTGCTTCCCTCGTCGCCCTACAGAGTATACCTGGTCTCTGTGTTCTGTATGCAGGACTGGTGCACAGAAGATGGGTCATCAACAGCATGATGATGGTACCATTGCCTCTCCAATAGCAAAACCCCCAAGCACCACTAATCAGATCGCCAGGTCTTCTACGCCTTTGCAATGACGCTCATTGTTTGGGTCCTTGTGGGCTACAAAGTCGCGTTCGGCGAATACATGCTCCCCTTTGCAGGCATCCCAAACACCGTACTGCGCATGAGCGACGAGCTGATCCAGTCAACGCTTCCTTCCGCCGGCGTGAGTCAAAACTTCCCGCAATCAACGATGGTCTACTTCCAGTTCGTCTTTGCAGCGATCACTCTCGCCCTGATCGCTGGTGCCTATCTCGCGCGCATGAACTTCACAGCCTGGATGATATTCGTGCCACTCTGGTTGATCTTTGCGTACTGCCCCGGCGCATACAGCATCTGGGGCGGTGGCTGGGCTACAAAACTCGGCGTCCTTGATTATTCCGGTGGTTACGTTATCCACTTGTCCTCCGGCACGGCCGCTTTCGTTGGTTCCTATTGGATCGGACCGCGCCTGAAGAAAGACAGAGAGAATTTCACTCCCAATAACATCCCACTCATGATGGTCGGAGCCGGCATCCTCTGGGTTGGCTGGAATGGCTTCAATGGCGGCGATCCGTACTCTGCTTCCCCTGATGCCGGCGCTGCTGTTCTCAACACCAACATCTGCTCTGCTATGTCCATGCTCACGTGGACATGCATGGACATCATCTTCTTCGGCAAGCCCTCCATCATTGGCTCCGTGAACGGCATGATCACTGGTCTGGTCGGCATCACACCCGCCGCTGGGTTCGTCGCTGGTTGGGGCGCCATCATCATCGGGTTTTGTACTGGCACCGTCCCCTGGGTCAGCATGAACATAGTCGCGACGCGCTCCTTTATCTTCAAGCGCCACGTCGACGACACTCTGGGTACGTATCTCTTGTGTTCGCAGTCAACTACATACAATAAGCTAACCCATCGCCAGGCATCACGCACACACACTTTGTTGCGGGTCTCATTGGTGGCTTCCTGACAGGACTCTTTGCCACCGTCGACGGCGTGGCCGGCTTCGGCGACACGAACCCTGGTGGCGCCATCGACGGCAACGGCAAGCAAGTCTGGCTGCAGATAGTCGGCGCTCTCTTCATCATCGGCTGGGATGCCGTTTGGACCTCACTCATCATGCTCTTTATCAAGTACGTGTGCCGCGTGCCGCTGCGCATGAGCGAAGAGGACATGTTGCTGGGTGACGACGCCATTCACGGCGAGGGTGCGTACTGCTTCTTTGATGACATGATGGGCCCCACGCCCGAGAACGATGGCGCTGTGCTTGAAGGGTTGAAGGTTGAGCATGATCTGGAGGTTGGTATCGGTGGGCCTACAAGATCTGAGCAAACCAAGAAGGATTAGAGAGACGGCAGTTTCGGTTATTCACTGTGCTCGTTCATGTACCAGCTGATGCTACGGTTTAAAAATCATTGCATTCTCCTGCAGAAGCTGCGTCTAAAAGCTCCACAACATCGCTGGTCGAAAGTTCGAACATGTGGCATTTCTTGTTGATCTGCTTGGTAAAGGCTGATAGTCTGCAAGCTTGTTTCTCTACACTCTCACTAATTAACGCATACCGCAACATTCACCCCAAGAGCAGGGCTCATAGAACCCCTCGAGACGACAATCAAAAGCCAACAGTAATCATTCGACCACCTAACAGCTTCACAGTAGACCGGATAATACAAGAAGCAGATCCGCATACAATCAGCCATCTCTGTGGCCTCAAATGAATCGAAGACAGTGCCGTCGATCTGGTAGCCATTGCAGTAGAGATTGAATCTACCATAGTCTTGAACGGACCATAAGGATCCATAAGGCTGGGCTCCGCAAGGAGGGTCGGTATAGACGGGCACGATTTCAGTAGTCGTCAATGTAGCCAGTTCGGTCATTACGGACGTTGCAGTCTCGAAAGCGGTCGAGGTTGTGGTAATGGAGGTCGTCTGGGTGACGGTGAACAGCACAGTTTCGAAAATTGTCTTTGTTGCCGGTTCACTTGCTGCTCTACGACACGCAGAGTCAATGGCGCCTTCGGGGTAGGAGATCAATGCAGATGGAGTTTCTATGGCACGCTTACGTGCCTTGACACTCGTGGGATCGACAGTGGTGTAGATTGTAGATGTTACAGTAGCGGTCCCAGCAAACTCGGTCGTAGTTGAAGATTCGACCTGAGTTATGGTAGTGACGTCGATTGACGTGCTCGTTTCGATCGTAACTGCGTACAATTCCGCTCTGAACGTGACCAAGGCGGTGGTGTAACTGAGGTAACTCGTGCAGAAGTTTTCAAGAGATTGTGATGTTATCAGATCGTAAGCATCTAAGGTTGGGTTCGGCGTTGCTGAAGATGATGTGCTGATTATGCTACTTATGGAGCTCCACGAGAATGAGGTCTCAGGCACAATGCTTGAAGCTTGTGACGATGATGAGGGGTACCTGGAAGAGAACATTGCAGAAGGCCTCGATGACGACGTGGACATTCTGGAGCTTGAGAAAGGAGCTGGAAATCGCGTACTCGATGTTGCAAGGCTCGACGATATCTTGCTCGATGAGATGAAGCGGAATGAGCTTCGACTGCTGCTAATCAATGAGCTAGGCGAGATGTTGGTCAAGGAGGACCTGCTTGTTGAGGTCTGGGTTGAGGGCGATCTGTTGGAGGTACTAGTAGGCATAGCTTTGGTCGATGACACTGCCTTGGTAGAGGAAACTCTTGTAGAGATGGGCTGGCTACCTGATATACTGGTCACACTCAAGAAGCTCTTCGAGGATGCCTTCGTCGTCATAGCCAGTCTAGACGTTGATGTCGTGGAACCCTTTGATGACGAACGAGTGATTGATCTCGAAGAAGATTTCGAAGTAGGCCTCTTTGTCGAAATGGACGTTCTTGTTGTACTTGATGTCTTGGTCGACGATTTGGAGGACTCTGTGACGCACTTGCAGGCCTTTCTTACAGCAGGAACATTCACGTTGGGTATCGGCGAATCATCTCGCTCGCTTCATCCAAATGTCAGTGTGAGAACTCCATTCAAACATTCCATCAGGCTTACAAGGATCCAAAGAAGATGCAGAACGACGACGGATTCTGAAATTCTTTGCTAACGAGATTGGCGGATTTGCTTGGACAAAGCGCAAACACGAAGCTCTGGAGACGCGCTGCATTGGCAATTGCTGCCAGATTTTTCGCCTTCCTACCAACAGGTTCAGCACTGACAATACATCGGCAAGCAGTTAGCAATGCGTTTGCGTTGATCTTGGTGATGGGCGAGTTCGTCCTGCCACTGTTTCATGGTCAGCAGATAAACCCAATATCACTTTGCCAGGATGTGTCGCACTCTTTGAGATACCAAGCACAGAAGTAATGAGGATGGACCACTTGTTGCGACACTGTGATCACATCAGACATGATGCATGATCTCGGTTCAATGGCTAATGAGTGGACAGTAAGGAACAGGCTACAGATCAGAAGGAACTGCATGATCAAAAGCAGAGGAATGGGACTGATCGCACCCAGTTGGGAGAAGAAACTGACTACTTATTCGAAGGAGGGAGTAGCGCTGTTTGCAGGGCCGACCTGGTGGTATATGCTTGGCTGTTACAGCTTTGTTCAGCTGGGCACTAGTTAGATCCTATCTTGCTTCAAGACGTTGGCAAACCTACATCTTCTAGCCACGAAAGATTCATCCAGTACTGGACCACTAGGATACAGTCCGTATTGATGAGCAGCGGCTCTAGCCGTTAGGATCATCGCAAAAGGATGCGTGTGAGCCCAGCACTGGATGTTCACAATGCTCGACGACATTGATCAGTCGCTTCCAAAACAACCATAACCAGAACAATGAAGGAGCCCAATGCTGACTTCCTTTAGACACCCAAACTAACCAGCGTAAGTGCTGAGGTCACCGTCTCTATGCGACGAGGAACCTTGAGTTTAGCAGTATCAATTGCTATACCTCATGCTTAGCGTGAAATGTATCTCGAATCTCCTTAGTTGCAAGTCTTGATGTTTAAGCCTTGCATTTCTTTATGCATCCTACATTCATTTGCTCCTTGACATTGTGATACCTGTGACCATTCACAGTCCACAGTACTGATCCAATCTGGGCCACGCATTCGCCAGCTGTAAAGCCTTGCCTCCCTCTGCAAACGCCACTAAGTCACTTTGATTTTGTCTGAACTACGGCCAGGCAAGATATCCGCCGTCAGAACTGTTGAACCGTTTCGGACCAGCTCCAGGACATTCTGCAAAGCTCAGCCATAAAGCCTCCATCGTTTGACTGACCGAGTACTCGAAGCTGGTGGAGTTTCCGGGGCCATACTTGTCATGGGTGCCGAACAACAAAGGCAGCTCAGAGCTGTGGTAAGCACCAAACCAAGAGACGGGGGATGTGTTGGTGAAGTTACCGGTGTAGAGGTAGCGGTAGGTTGGATAGAGCTCTGGTGCGAGGTCGCGTCGAGCAACATCTCTGGCAACAGGACAAGCGATGATCGAAAGTGTCGTGTTCACTAGTGTCGCATTGCCAGGACCAGACGGTGTGTACGGCACAAAGCCCGCACCTTCATTCGTGTTCGAGCCAGTGATGAGAGGCAATCGAGCCAAGTGTCCATGAGTGAGTCGGTCAGTGTAGTTGGTGAACACAGTGATATTGTCGTCTGTTGGTGTGAACGAAATTGTAGGTGTTTGCTTGTTGATGACATAATTCGACAAAGCATTTTCCAACGTCGATGCATTGACGCGACGGACGCAATGAAGCTCGTTCACTGCACTCATATTGCTGCAGCCGACCAGACCAGCCAGGGCCGTAAAGTTGGAATGGGTCGGGTCGGATTTGGCAATGATGCCTGTAGCACCTGAGTCTGCAATGAGGCCTTTGACAATGGGATCATCCGCGAATGCATAAGGATAGTTGGCGACACTGGCTCCGCCAGCCGATTGACCCCAAAGGGTTATTCTGTCTGGGTCTCCCCCAAAATGTGCAATGTTACTGTAGGTCCACTCCACACTGTGTTCGGGTCAGCAAGACGAGATCTCTGGAAGCTTTGGACAAACTCCCGCCTTTCGCTGATCAAGAAGACCAGGATTTTGGTGGGACAATGCAGCAGCATTAGGAAAGCCGAAGACATCCACGCGATAGCTGCATCACGTTAGTATCCATTATAGCCAAACAAGAACATGGAGGCGACTTACTTCATGACGACGACAATATGCGACTGAGTCCTCTTGACCCACTTGTCAGGAATTTTGTACATTGAATTCTGACCTCCACTGGTCAATCCACCTCCAGGAATGTACAAGAACACTGGCAAGGGAGACCCCTTCCTGTCAATGGCAGCGATGGATGGGGTCCAGATGGACAGATAAAGACAGTCTTCGGACTGCCCGCCACTGATCAGGAACTCCGTCTCGTAGGCGGTGTAGATAGTAGATCCGCTGGAGAATTGCTGCATGCAGGAATTAGGTAGCGAAGTAGCATTGATGGTAACTTGAATGCGCACTACGTCCTCTGGAGGAGCGAATCTTAACTGGCCTACTGGCGGCCTAGCATATGAGATGCCGAGGAACTGACGCACGTCTGGTGCAGTTTGATTGACAAATCATTGGAGCTGGCCGCTGGTCGTGTTGACGGTAAGTGTATCTTGCAAAGACGCAGAGCTGGCGTGTGCCAAACCCAAGATGGCAGATAGGTGAATTGCATTGAACAACATGATATGCAGAACTCTGTTTCTTGCTGCGAAGTAGATGAGCAAAATGTCCGCCGAAGGTGATAGATGACTGATATACTCCTCCTGTAGAGAAGATATATAGCTACTCTTTCGAACCATAACCGAGGGTCCCGGGTCAAATCATAACAGAGCTCGTGATAGTCATTGTCGATCTTTTCGCATGGCTTTGGTCAAACCCTGTAGATCTGCATGCGGCATTTGAGTCGGTAGAGGCCTCCCTGCGGGGTCTTAGGGCTTGAGGGCGACTCTGAAAGTAAGACAAGCCGGGGAAATCTCCTTGATTCTCTCAGATATAGACGGCGATTACGTATACCAAGTCGGCTCAGGGACCTCATCTAACAGGTAGAAGCGCCCCAGTTCGCGATTCTTGTATGCGACGGGATCATGCAAGGAGTGAACCCTTACATCTCTCCAGAAGCGATCCAGGCCAACTTTGCTGCCTGTCGCCCGACTTCCAGTCACCTCGAATACACCTGCTGTGACCTTAAGACTCGTATCTGTGGTCACGATCTTGGCGCTGGCCACAAGCTCTGCCACTTCGCCCCTCGTTCGTGCGGACACATCTCGATCCTTGCCATGAGCGACGAAGATGTCGCTGATAGCCACGCCCGCACGATCTGTCAATGCTTCCGCCGCCAACAAATGCGCGTGAAAATTGCCATATCGCTCCAAGATGTAGAACTCATCCGTGGCTGACTGTTTGTTGTCGCCTCCATATGGCCAAGCGCGTGTTGAGGTCGTGGTATACCCCCTTGCAAACTCGAGACTACCTTGAGCAATGCCAAGGTAGAAGTTCGAAAACACAAGTTGAATGGTTGGGAGAAGCAGTGTTGCAAAGGGAATCGACAAAACATCAGGTGACGGTATCTTGGCCGCGGCATCCCAGCCTAAAGCATCGCTCCATGGAACAGCTACGTTGTTGATCTTCACGCTACCAGATTCGCTGAGGCGAAGACCAATGTTGTTCCAGTTGTGCGCAAATTCGAACCCGGGCTGTGAGGTCGGCACAATGGCGAAGATGTGGTTTTCTGTGCCTGCCAGCACGCCCTCCAGGACAGTAAGGTCAGAGATCACGCCTCCAGTGTTAAAATGCTTGGATCCGTTGAAGATGAGCTTATTGCCATCCTCCTGGATGATGAGATCGCTGTCTCGAGGATTGACGGCGCCTGCAGTACCCTGGTCAGCCATCCCACAACGACAACCGCGAACATCTCAAGCGCTTACCTCCGACAAAATAGTTATTCTCGATGATCAATCTCTGGAACCTGTCTTTCTGCTCGTCTGTGCCAACAATGTCGGCGGTCTTGGACCAGAGCAAGTGATAGCCCAGCAACATTCCAATACTGCCATCACCCTTTGCGACCTCACGGATGGCTTTGTACCCAATTTCCCAAGACTGTCCACCACCACCATATTCGACAGGTCCGAGAATCTTCAGCAGCCCAGAGCTTTTCAGCAAGGACACTTCGGCCACGGGAGACTTGTTCGCATGGTCACGAGCTGCGGCATCTCTGGCAAGAATTCTGGAGACTTCATGGGCACGTTGCGACCAAGAGGCTGCCGAAGAGGGAAGTCCTTCTGAGGCAAAGGCTTCGTGATGTGGTTTGTACACGGATGAGTCAGAAGACTCATATGCTGTCGTTTGATGACTTGCGCTCTTGATTGGTGGCGCAATGAAGCTTTCACTGATGTTGGTCGCGGAAGGAGACATTGCAGAGAATGGGATTTAGTTCTTCTCAGCAAACTCGGACTTTGCAGGTCGCTCACTGATTTGCTTTTGCAAGGGCGAGTAATGAGTTTATATGCTCGAGCTGATCATGTCTCGTGGTTTCAGACGGATGGTTGCACCCCAGGATTTCGTGTCGATGGTGTGATCGAGCCCCAAATTGCCCCATATCACACCAACAACTGGCTTGCCCACTAAGAGTCTTACGTCGATCACGCAAAAACCACCCCATGGTGGGGTAGAACATGCTTTATCGCAACGACGAGCTATGGTGCAAAAGCACGTCTTCAATCTCTGGTTTTTTTTCATGTCACCAAGTCCTCAGCAACAACCCGACCACCTGGTCGGGATTTGATCGCCAGTTCTTATTGCGGTGCAACTTCAACTTCATAACAAGTACATTCTTGTTCGACTGTAAGGTGTATGTGTAGTCACAGACTCTCGTACTCACCAGTCGAGTATGTGCGAAGCAATAGTGACGGATAAGTGCCTCAATCGTGTTTTGGGCGCAGTGTTCGCAAGGAATGACTTTATTGCGTGATACAGGCTGGTCTTCAAGGGCATTCGAGGATTGACCTATCCGATCATCAAGGTCAGAGCACGATAAGCCGTGATTCGCAGATGGCTCGCATTCGCTATCGCCGACCCTCGTCCGAGTGTCTTCTATAATATCTGCTCCTTCCGTCATTTGAGCATCCTTCGAGATCTCCACGCTTCTGAGGATTGTTTAGCGTGTTGCAACCATGTCGGAAACACAGGCAGCCATTCCTCTGTCCCAGGTAAGACACTCTTAACCTATCTCGTTGATTCTCGCTGAAAGGCTACCTACCAGGGTGCTGGATATGGCGTTGTCATTGGCCTAGGAGCTTTGTTCGCCTTGGTCATGATCGGTGTCACTTCAATAATGAGGCGTCGTGGCAATGTTGAGAACGCCGAGGAATTTACGGTCGCCAAACGCTCGCTCGGTACCGGTTTGACCGCTGCTGGAGTGACTTCCTCTTGGACTTGGAGCACAACATTGCTTTCTTCTGCGACTGTGGCATATGAGTACGGTGTGGCTGGATCCTTCTTCTATGCTGCATGCAATAGCACTCAGATCATGATATTCAGCAACCTTGCGATTGTAAGTCTCGCCTCTCAGGCTATGGATCGATCGTAGCAGCTAATTTGTACTAGGAATCGAAACGCAAGGCGCCCAATGCTCGTACTTTCCTGGAGATCATTCGTGTTCGTTACGGTACTGTTGCACATCTGTCGTTCATGTTCTTCAGCTTAGCTTCGAATATCCTGGTTGTGTCGTCTATCTTGATAGGCGGTGCTGCTGCAATCAACTCTCTGACCGGCATGAATGTATATGCTAGTCTATGGTTGTTGCCTATGAGTGTGACTGCATACACTCTACGTGGCGGACTTCGAGCAACAATCTTGACGGATTATGTGAGTACATAAGTGACTCCAAATTTTAAGATTTTCAGAACGCTGACCAATACAGGTACACACTGCCATAATCTTGATCATCATCTTCGTCTTCTGGTTCAAAGTCTACGCCACGGGTGATCAGATTGGATCCCCAGCAAAGATGTGGGACTTGCTTCACGACGCTGCTAAGCGAAACGACTACCCTGCACCGACAAAAGGAGGCACCTACTTGACCATTCGGTCTCTGGGAGCGCTCAAGTTCGCCATCCTCAGTATACTTGAGTACACAGGTGTAGTCTTCCTCGATAACTCGTTCCATCAGAAAGGCATTGCAGCTGATCCTGCTTCTGCTGTTCCGGGATACGTTCTAGGAGGACTGGCGTGGTATGCGATGCCTTTCACCTTGGCAACTACTATGGGCATTGCCGCCATTGCGCTGGAGAACACGCCGGCATTTCCCACATATCCTAACAGGATGAGTACAACGGAGATCAGTGCTGGGCTGACGCTGCCGTATGCCGCGCAAACAATTGCCGGTACAGGTGGTGCTGGTGCCGTCCTTGTCCTCATGTTCATGAGCTGCACCAGTGCGATCTCGAGTCAACTGATTGGTGTCTCCACCGTGCTGTCTTACGATGTTTACAAGACTTGTGAGTTGCGTTTCTCTTTTCATCACCTGGAGCAATGACTGATCAGGACTACGCAGACATCAAGCCTAGTGCCACAGATGCGCAAATTCTTCGCGCAGGTCATTACTGTGTCGTAGGATTCGCTATTTTCATGGCGGCTTTTGGAAGTATGCTTCACGGAGTCAAGATCGATCTTGGCTTCATCTACAACATGACTGGCATATTCACGGGTTCAGCGTTGCCCGCACTCATCGCAACCTTCTTCTCCACAAGGCAAGGTCCTCTGGCGGCGGTCGCATCGATCTGGACAGGGTTCTTCTCTGCGGTCATCACTTGGGTATGTTTAGTCTAACCTGTGCCATATTGAGAAGCAAAGACTAACTTTGCATAGCTGACACTCGCCAAACGGTTCTCCGGCACTGTAAACATCGCGTCGGTCGGGCGGACTGACCCATGTTTGTATGGTTGTATCGCTGGCATTGGCGCTGCTGCGGTCGTGACCATTGCTATCTCCATCTTCCATAACGCTCGCTACACCTGGGACACTCTCGGTGCTATACGTCTGACAGACGTTGATGGTAGCGACAAAGACGTTGCGTTCGAGGACCCTACTTATAACCCGGAGAGACTGCGGAAGGCGGCTCATATCGCCCGTGCCATCACGGTCTTCTTGTTTCTGGCGCTCTTCATCGTATGGCCATTGAGGTAAGTCTAAGCCGCTTGTTTGTGATTTGACATAGGTACTGACAACAGTTCCAGTCTTTACGGCACAGCATACCAGTTTTCGGAAAAGTTCTTCACGGGGTGGGTCATCGTGTCTTTACTCTGGGCTGTCTTCTCTTTTGGAAGTATTACCATCTACCCGATCATTGAGGAGCGTCATCGTCTTCTGTCCTGGATCAAAGAGTTCTCTACGAAGCCCAAGGTTGAAGAGACGGACTCCGTGGATGAAGTCAAAGTTGAGCCTGATGGTAAGACACAACTATAAGATTGGTTTGCGGTGAACATGGAGACGTTAGCTAGACTAGACTCTCATAGAAAGCTGAGCACAGAGCTTTCTCAACGTCAGACTCTGAGCGCGTTCCTGAGGATCTAACGTGCGGTGATATCCGTACAAAGCCCGAAGTCTTGAGTATATGAATGACGGTCTACAGTCTTTAAGAGTCGTATCATGTATCGGGCCGTTCTAGGAACCATTTATCCTGTAACAGGTCCTTTACCGAGCCTCTCCCTCCAATCCATTCTCATAATCTTACTTATGAGCGTCTTGTCTGCTCGGCAGATTTCTTTGTCTGTGATCCGTTCGAAGAGTCTGACCTGCGAGAACGGAATTTCAGTACAAAATGGCCGCAGCAGTCAGCGAATAGACTGCTTCGCCGATGCTGTTAGAAAGAGGTCCAAAGTACCTGAACTGCTGTTTGAGAATCTCCAAATCATATCCTCCATAACCAAAAGGTGCAATCTTCTGACGCACTAGATTGAAGTCTCCACCGTATATTGGAGGACTAAGTCTTAGTATGTGTGAAATATCGAGCTTGTGTCCTTCACGTTGTTTCAGTTCGCTGCTCCATATCAAACTATACGAGTGAGCGATGCAGCAAGCGGCTCTATAGAACCATATTTTCAGGTTATCTTCATGTGACGAGGTGCGTCCCAAGCAATTCACGCACCCAAACCGACATTCTTTCTATAGTCTAAGCGTCGCCCACTCATGCTGCATAGTCTGACGCCTACTTGTCTTGTTATAGTGATAGAGAGGCAGGCCCACAAGATACAGGATCTGGTTGTCGAGCTATCATATGCAAGTCCACTGCACGTGAGCAGTCGCGTGAGATTGCCTATAGCTAATAAGGCACTAAGAAGAGCTACTTATTAGCTAGGTGCATACTACGTGCTAGGACAACGATTATATGGAATCATCGCAAGTAAAGTAGCCATATTAACATTGTTATGATTGATCAAAGAGGGAGTGTCGCGCGAAGAGGTAGTAGAAGCGGGGAAGCCGTACGGAGACTTTTGGCACGTCACTGTAAGCTGCACCTATGCAGAATTTCCTAATTTGTCACAAGTTGGCAAGGTTCCGCGTGAGGGGTACGGATTTTCATAGCCGAGGTGATCATATCCAGAGTGTTTCCTCCGAGCCCTACATGATTTCCCATTCGGATTCACTGGAAAATGTCAGGGTTTAGAAAATTGGGCTGCCAGGTATGACTTCGCTATCTGCCAGATGGGTTACGAATTGAATTGCTGACCTCGAAGTATTGCCGGAACAAGCATCTTAGATGGTATTAGCACACGCAAGCGCACACCTTGGCCCAGTGCATCTCTGCTAATCTTCAGCTCGGCCCTGTGCAGTGACAAAGCAGAGCCAACGTGTTCTAGATGTAGCCAAGCTGGTCTCAAGTGCACGCGAAGTACTGACCTTCATTTCAGACAGGACGCCCTTGCAAGGTAAGTTAGGTATTGCATAAGAACAACATGTTCGCGTTCGCAGTGTTCCACGCGAACATACTTTCCAAGATACACGTCAACTAAAATATCCCCTTTACACTTGGAGGCACTACACTCACTCTGCGGCTTTTGTGTGTCGTGTTCGATCTGGCTTACTGAGATTGTCTTTTTCTAGGATACTGAACCGCACTTTCTTTGATGGTCGCAGTGAATCATCACGCCATGATGAGGAAAGCTACAAATGGGTCAAAGTGTCGCGCAAGCTCAAGTTCATAGATCAAACAAGCGAAATCACGGCAACATATGGTCAAGACGCAGAATCAGAGAGTCCACCCATGATCGAAGAGATTCATGAGGACCGCGGACCAGGAAACGTCTCCTCGGCGCCTGCAGAGTCTGCGGCAGACATACAGCCCGTGACATACATGACGCCTTCTTCTTATCCCCTCACAACCCAGATTTCTCAAACACCGGATTTGCCGGTTGATGTACAATCGCATACAACGCAAGAAGCGCTTTCAGAGGAGCTGGACCTCCAAGAGTCTTCCCATCACGATGTACATTCTCATTGTACCATCCAGCGACAGAGCTCGCCAGCAGTCGGTGGCGCTATGCACGACACGATCCAGGGGCTCACACAAGCGGCTGAAGATGTCTTCTTCGATCCATCTCAAGAAGCCACTCTACTGCCACGAGCCGAGATGCAGGAGTCATTTTCACCACCAGACAAGACGACGATGACACCTTTCGCAGCTTCTGAGATAGCGACACCGTTGAATGCGTCCAGCATAACAATTAGAAGCAATGCTCTCGGCGGACCCTACTTACAGACCAGGATGCACCAATTGATCAGCGGCCAAGAGGCACAACTCATGCGCTTCTTCATCGACAGCATCGCTCCTTCTTTTGATCTGTGCGACAGGGATCGGCACTTCTCTCTTGTTGTGCCCCAGAGAGCATTGATGTGTCCCATACTGCTCAATGCAGTCTTTGCTGTCTCTGCAAAGTATCTGTCGGCGGTCTCTGATTTCGACCCAGTGGTGTCAGACAGACACAGCCAAGAATGCCTCAAACACTTGATACCAAAGCTTTGCGATGCGGAAGCCATTACGGATGAGAATATTTTGGCTGCAACAGTCATCCTTCGTCATCTCGAGGAACTCGAAAGTTAGTGCACCGACCGCAGCGCCATTCGAGGCATTCAACTAACTTTGACTATTGCTGTCATATAGTGTCCATGTCAGGCTCAGGTGTAGAAAACTATCTGCTGGGAACCCGTCTTTTGATGGGTGCCCAAGAGCATCATCGCGCCTTCGCTGGCGGCCTGCGAAATGCAGTCTACTGGTATGGACTGAGGCAAGAGATCTATGTTTCCTTCATCAAACAGAGGCCTATCCACGAATCGTTCAAACGCTGTACCATGGACGTCCCTTGGAATCCAAATGATGATTTCGAATGGGCTAACAGTATAGTCGCACGAGTCGCTGAGCTCGTCCAGTTTTGCTTCGATGAGACGGAACACTCCATATCTAATTACGACCAGATAGTTCAGCACTTCGATTCCTGGTTCGAGCAGAAGCCGGCGTCATATACGCCTCTCTATTCTGAAACCTGCGACTCTTCGACCGTGTTTCCGAAGTCTTGGTACCTTAACGCGGCGATCATCACAGGAGTGCAGCACTATCATCTTGGCCGAGCACTCCTCGCCGTGTACAATCCAAGGATCCCAAGGTGCATTTGATGAATTACGTCTATATACATTGGACAATGACTGACTTACCAAGGCTGGGAATAGCACATCGATACGCGTTGCAAGATGCAGAGGTAAGAAATTTTCTTGTGAATGATTTGCTTGATACAAACTCATCGAGATCTAGAAATCTTTGAAGGAGCAGGTCATGATCAGCTGCGGTATAGCGTTAGCCACCCCGTCCATGACGGCCAGCTATGTGTGAGTCGTGGTGAAGGATCTCGCCGACTATAAACGATCTGACGCGTACAGCCATGCTTGCCTTATTATTGCTTTGGGTGGGGACCGCTTCACCGAACGTAGAGAGCAAGAAGCGCTCCATGGAATCCTGGTCGAGGCTCAAAAAGTGTACGCTTGGCCTACGCAACCCGTGTACGTGGTTTGGTCCCCTATGCCTGAAGGTTTCGGAATCGTGAACTGACATCATGATCAGGCAGGATCATCTCAGAGAAGTCTGGGGTTGGTAAACCATGCTCGGCCGCCGATGAGCACAAGGAAACTACTTTTGACCCACCTTCCGCTGCCGGGAAGATCTGTTAGTGGTCTTGCTATGCGCGTCGGACAAACAGCCTACTGATAGCGCTAATCGACCCTACTCCAATCGACTCTACTCAGGGTTCCCTCGGAAGTCAATCAGGAACATGTTGACTCTTGGCCCAATCGGCATCATAACTACCCTCCCCGACTCACGTCGCGCAGCAGACCCTTGAGACTCGCCATGGCAACATCTTCTAATTTGCAAGGTCTCAGAGCATTGACGTCAGGCATGCCACGCATCTGAAACCTGCTGTTCAGATTCCCGAATCGTGCACCGACGAGACCAATGAGCCTCTGCGTCAAGGTTTGACGACTGTCAAGACCCTGCAAACATATTACAGACTGCGAAGCGTTCAGATCGCGTAGTTGAGTCTGGTGAATCGGGATCTCCGCACGACAAAAACTTGTATGATATATTGAGTTCCTAGACAATGACTGCCTACTTTCCAGGCGATCTGTTGTGACATCTCCTCCGAATTCTTACCGGCAACTCCGAAAGATGCAAGTTGTTCCACTCGTGTCTCTCCGGCTCAAATGCTGGATCCACCAGACTGAACTCGTACCTGTGTATCATACTGGTCAGAACCACTGTTTGCTCGAGATACGAGATGTTGCGTCCGATGCAACCCCTTGCGCCGGCAGAGAAAGCGATGAAATATTGTCCCAGGTCTTTCCCTGCTTCGCCTAGCCAACGTTCGGGCTTGTAGCTCTCGGGATCCGGGAAGATATTAGGGTCGCGATGAGCAACAAAGGCAGAGATTGACACGCTAGTATCTCCAGGGACGAATTCGCCGCAGATGAAAGCTCCTTCAGGTGGTGTCGTGCGAGTGAGACCATGAGATGTAGGTGGGAAGATGCGTAGCGACTCGTCAAGGCAAGCGCGTAGGTATGGCAGGTACTTGACCTTCTCATAAGATGCGACTACCTCGTCCTCGTCAAACACGTGGTCAATCTCATCGCGAAGTTTCTCCATGTATTCCGGGTTCTTGAGAAGCATGTACATGACATTCGCCATTGCGATTGCAGTCGTCGTCGATCCAGCGTTCATCATGATAGACACTTCGGCGGCGATTTCTCCAAACTCGAGGTTGTTGGCAACACCATTTTTGTCGTGCATCATGGCTGTAAAGAAGTCATCGAGCTTCTCGCCCGATTGGTAGCGCTTTAAGCGCTCTGTTGTGAGGTTCAAGACGATACCGTCCCAACCTTCGTTAAGCTTCCACAAACGATTATAGTGCGGAAGCCACTTGCTAAGCTTGACTAATTGCTTGTAGTAGTCATAGCAATAGCCCATGACCGAATTTGCTTGCGAGTTTGCATAAAGACATTCGCGAAAACTCGACTCGAAGCTGGAACCGTCTAAACGAAGCGATGTCGTGCGATCATCACCTCGGTCAAGGAAGCCGAGACGATGGCTGAGACCAATGTCGGCAATAGCATCCAGTGTGAAGTAGTTCAGCCAAGGCTTGTAGTCGACGATTTCATTATGACCGTGATCACTGCATCGCTTGTCCATCTGGTTGATTAGGCGGGTGGTCTTGTCTGCAACTTTGAACTCCCATTCTTCGAGATTCTTCAGAGCGTAGGCTGAGGAAAGGACCTTGCGCTTCCGTTGATGCTCCTTCTTGTCGACTACGTCGGCCAGATGGTAATGTGTGCCAGCCGTGACGACGTATTGTCCATCCTTTGTACATTTGGTGTTATGTCCGTAGATGTCTTTGATAGCTCTGACGTCACCATACGAGAGAGAATTAGGTCCGACTCTGACAACAGGCATACCGGAGATGTGTAGCTCGTGTAGCTTTTTCGATCGAAAACCCTTCTCGGAAAGCAGCATGAAAGGAAGACTCGAGATGCCGGAGAACAAGTGCATGTTCGGGTACCTTCTCAGGCCCTTGACATCTCGGAAGTAATCGAATGTCCATTTAGCAACGAGAACCAGAAGACCCGCAAAGACTGCAGATATGCCTAACAGAAATGTAAACATTGTGAGATGATTGCGGCGACCTGGGAGATGGTGGAAGGGCTTGAAGTCTTGCGAGGGTGAAAAGACGATGGAACATGATAAATACTCATTCCAGGATCACACATGGCTTCAAACCAAAGGCGAGTTTTCCCAGTATGGTAATCTTGAGCGGACGACCAGACATTGTCAATCTCCGATCGGTCAAAAAGTCTAGCTCGTAACAATGTGCCCCGCGCTGAGGCTCCACAATTCGTGGTCTGGGGACACAACTGACAACACCGCTGCTAGCTCAGACTGACACGTGTTATAAACACCTGATCCCGGGCATTGCTGCTTTTTACCAGATAGGCATTCATGTCCGGACACGAATCCAGTAACATCACCCGATGGATCGCCGGGCAGTGACGAATGGCGTCAGTGGTGTTGCTGTATTCCCCACATGACCTACCCCGGAATTCTTGCCGAGGTCTCATCTGTGTGTGTGTGTGCGTGGGAGTTGCGAAGGCAGGGGATCACGAGGCTTGTGGTGGGCAGGCTCTCGTGCTCCCAAACTCTCACGATCTGGTAGAATACATGGCCAAGACCTGAAGCCCGGACTACGCGTCTCATCTGTCTCGAGTGGGAAATTCGTCCGAACAGTGGGTCACTGAATCCGCCTGCCCCTCGTCGAAGGTGTGTCGCTCGAGCTCTTCAATGAGTCGGTGGGACACTCAAAAGATCCTATGTGGAAAATTACCCTCTAAGTCATTGAGCAAGCAAGCAGAGCCGCTGCGACCGTCGTGAGCTTATGCTCGGCATCGTCGTGCATTTATCATATAATATAGCAGGTCTTGGTCCACGAACACAACATCTCGCACATCCTGCTGCCGACCCCACAAGTTTTCTCTTGACCTCTTTGATATACCTTCGCTCGTCGTTGGCTCTAAAATCGCCATGATGGCAATCGAGCTTGCGTTTGGGTTCTCCTTCAACAATGTCCTGACACGTCTACCATATGGTGCTGGGCTCGAAGACCTCGCGATGATGGCAATCCTAGGCGCTGCGAGCACCGCATACATGTCTCGGGGCAGGCTGTGGGACAAGCCAGATCCCTATCATTATAAGTGGTTCGAGAGACCGCAAGAACAGATGGGTGGTAAGGCACGTGCTCAACAAACTCGCAACATCATGGAGAAGCTTGAGGAAACTGTAAGCGATGATCATTGATGTTTACTGTTGACATGTTGATTTGTCGGTTAGGGAGCCGATTTGGTCATCTTCTGGGGCTCGCAGAGCGGAACGGCGGAGCGCATGGCCAGTCGTCTCGCCAAAGAGTTTCATCAGCGCCTCGGCCTCAAGAGTCTGTCAATCGATGCATCCGACTACGAGCCGTCCTCTATCGCACAGATACCAGCGACCAAGATTTGTGTGTTCATTGCCTCGACCTTCGGGGAGGGTGACCCAAGCGACAATTTACATTCGTTCTGGGAATGGATTCACACTGCTTCGGACAAGTGTCTATCGAACCTCAGATATATGGCTTTCGGCCTCGGGAACTCGTACTATAAGCATTACAACGAGGTCATCAAAGTCGTCGTTGAACGCCTGAATGCCCTTGGTGCCCAAGCGTTGATGGCAACTGGAATGGCAGACGATGCAAAAGGCGAGACTGAGGAACACTTTCTCGAATGGAAAGAGCGAGTCATCCATACGTTCAGCACAAAATTAGGCTACACCGAGCGCGATCCCGTGTACGAGCCATCGCTGAAAGTATTCGACGATGAATCGCTCGAGCCCATCGATCTCCATCATGGCGTACCTTCGAATAATGCTGCCTCTAGCAAGGGAAACACCGGCATGTCTGCTGTGTATTCACTTCCTGTGAAGACGACTAGGGAACTGTTTCAGGATTCAGAGCATCGCAACTGTATCCACATAGAGGTCGATCTCAATGAACATCCCGAGCTGAGATACAAGACTGGCGATCATCTCGGCGTCTGGCCCATCAATCCGGATATCGAAGTCGGCAGACTCCTACACGTGCTTGGTTTGACTGAGCGACCACGGGTGCCGATCACCATCTTATCTTTAGATGATGACGTGAAGGTCAAAATTCCTACACCCACCACTCTGGAGGCTTTGCTCGGTCACTACCTAGAGATATGTGCTCCCATCTCGAGAGGCACGATTGCCTCACTCCTGCAGTTTGCACCCACACGTGCCATCAAAGACTTTCTGGCACCATTGACTGACAAAAGAAAATTTGCCAACTTTACCGGCTCGAGGTATATCAATTTGGGAAGACTTCTCGAGCTGACCACCAAAGAGGAAGGCGTCTGGAGCGCGCTTCCACTATCGTTTATTGTCGAGACTTTGCCCGTGATGCAACCAAGATATTACTCTATTTCTTCATCCTCGGCCGTCACCCCAAGAACTGCAGCCCTTACAGTTGTCATTTCTGACACTGTCTTGAACGGTCCAGCTGAACGCATACCCGGCCTCTCCACCAACTATCTTTTGGCTCTCAAGACGTCGTTGGCGCGTGATGATGATTCAAAATCTCGCGGCCGAAACCTCGATTATTCTCTCAATGGTCCTGAAGACTCGCTGGTGGGCGGCCGTATCCATGCTCATGTCCGCAATTCCAACTTCAAGCTGCCGGTGTCAGCCTCGCACCCAATAATTATGATCGCGGCAGGTACCGGCATTGCACCTTTCCGAGCTTTCTTGCAGGAACGCGAACGCATGCAAGCGATGGGCAAAGAAGTGGGGACCATGCTTCTCTTTTTCGGCTGCCGTAACCCACACCAAGATCTTATATATGCATCCGAGCTGGCAGAGTTGCAGAAGCAATTCAGCGGCATTTTCAGACTGGTGGTTGCATTTTCTCGTGCTGATGACGAACGCGAGAGAGCATATGTTCAACATCGCGTTGCTGAGCACGCAGAGACAGTGTGCAAGCTACTCGTCGACGACAATGCAAATTTATATATTTGCGGTTCAGCAGCCATGGCGAGGGATGTGTCTAATACCATCAATCAGGAGTTATGTGGAAGGTTTCAGTGGACGGAGGAGGACTGCAGAGGTTTTGCCGATAAGCAAAAGAAATTCAAAAGATGGCAGCAGGATGTTTGGGGGTGAACATATTCTCCGCTTTGCATAGACAGCTCAGAAAAGCGATACAAGAGTGTTTGAAATTATGCCGCTTGAGAGGGTAGTATGCAGAGACTCACCAGATTCACGTTCTAGATCTGCGATAGGTAAAATTGTTCATGATGCTATCCCGAGATTAGCTTTCCAACATACATCTTTGCACCGGGAGTGATCATGAATGTGGTAAGTCTGACAATCATATCGTGGTCGATGTCCGTTCTTCACCTGCGATACTTCTACGTTGATCGATCGACTGGCAGTCATGTCTCCCGAGCACATGTGTTCCAGCTCCCTGCATAAGAGGTGGTAGAGCATCACCGAACAACACTGTAAGGCTAAATGCTGGAAACGATGAGTTTTGGCCTAGCTTCTGCTTGCTGAGAACAAAGATAGGACACTAGCTTGTCTTCTAACTCAACTATCATACTACGAACTGTTTCCCAAAATAGATACAATCTTGCCCATATCAATACGGCCTTACCAGAAGCCTCTTCATGATTTCGCCATCTAGTCATTGTCCTTGACATCGATGACAGTCTTTTTGAATTGCCTAGCAGGGGCTTTGCGGTTGAACAGAATATCCAGCTCTCGATAAGAGCGATCCTTGAGCTCGGGAAGGTAAAAGTATGCAACCAACCAACAAATTGTGGCAGTACCACCCCAGACATATCCGCACTTGCCAGCGAGGTTCCACCCAGTTGGGTTCAGTAGATTGCTAGCCAAATAGATCATTGGGATCTCACAAACATAGCTGGAGCTCGTGTTAGCAGTTGTCCGTTTTACATTAGACAAACAGTGAGTGGGAGTAGAGCATCGCAAGACCAGACAGAATCCTCGTCTGATGACTTGCTGAGATGTGGTCTGTTCACGGGCTTGGTTGTACTTACTAAGCAGCACGACCCATACCAGTGCTAAGTGCACGGAGACGCACAGAAGAGGTCTCGGAGATGATAGAGTATGATATCGGTCCAAGAGTGCCGGCGTAGACGAAAGAAATTATGACACCAAGGCATGCCTGAGCATAGTTGGTACTTTGAGTCTGCTTGACAGAAGCACAGACACCAAGGGTAAAGAGCATAGTGGCGTTGAAAGCTGTTCCCCAAAGGTAGATCGTGCGACGACCGAGTGAGCCAGCGAGCGGCAGAGACGCGATGTTCGCGACCAGACCCAGACTCGTGTTGATGAGGTTAAGCTTGAAGGCAAACTCGGATGACATGCCAGCCTGCTCGAAGAAGAAGGTTGCTTGATTCGCGATCAAGTTACCTGCAAAGTTCTGTGACGCGTACATGAAACAGGTGATAAGAGTGCGTCTGAGGTCAGTGCCCTTGAACAGATCGGTGAGCTTAGGTTCGCCACCCGCGTGAGCCTCAATCTCGACAGTACGTTCCATCATGGCTAGTGTCTCCTCGTTGTTGCCTTGGCGTTTGCTGCCGAGGCGCTTGATCGATCGGAGAGCCTCCTCCTTGCGTCCGCGACGAATAAGCCACCAAGGCGATTCAGGCGAGAGCCATACGAGGACGAGGAGAGGAATCGGGAACACCCATTGTAGAGCGATGGGTACTCTCCAAGCCCACTGGTCCATGCGGTGACTGTAAGAGTACGTGGCAGCAGCCACAAGCATGGCACCAATGGACCATGACATTTGCAGAGTTGCCGCTGCTGAACTCCTGAGCACCAGAGGGACGATTTCGGATGCATATGCCGGGCTATTCGCAATGAACAAGCCCCACGGCACGCCCTCCAATGCTTGTCCGACTACCAGGAGAGGGAGCGAATTGGCCTGGCGAGGTCAGTAATCGCCTGCGATCAAGATGTTGAAAACTTACGAAAAAGGACACAAAGATTGTGAGAATCATCAAGACTAGGCCGCAGACGGTGGTCAACCTGTAGCCGATGCGGTTCGTGATCGGTCCTGCGAGGAACACTCCAACAAAAGCACCGCATTGACCCGATTGGAACAGCGCGCTCTGCCACTTGGTAGGAATTGCGAACTTTCCTTCTGCGATCATGATACCGTATTTACGCTGGAAGGCGCCGAGGGCAGGCCAACTGCCGCACAAGAACATATCGAAAGACTCCATGACCTGCACACTATCGTTAGCGAATTCTTGAATGATATGTGAAGGATTTGCATACGATAGTGAAGCACATGAGAAAGGCCCAGAAACAAGCCCAAGGGTAAGTTTTGAAAGCTTCCCACAAACCCATCTCATGTTCGCGATTCTCGGCCTCATAAGCATGGCTGAGGGTTTCTTTATCGCCCAACACCTCGTGATGGATTGCGTGAATCTCAGTGTGGTCATGTTTCATGTCCTTCTCTTGCGAGGCCATATCTGTCTGAGTGGATCGAGTAACAAATTGAGAAGAGAGGGATGTCCGTCAAGGGAATTGATGATAGGGATGAAACAAGGGATGAGTAGGAGAGACATGACCTTTATAACCACGTGTCATGGCCCTGCTCTCCATATTGTACCCCACCATTTTCCAACGCCGCTTCTTCCCACGACTCTGTATTCCCCATGGGCATAGCCCAGACTGCTCGATCCAACCCGTTCATCGTGTCAAGGTTCTCCAGGCTCCAGCAGCAAGTAGGCCGACAGTCTGACTGCGAATATGGCCGTGTGAAGTTAAATTGCACGGCGCTTAGACAGATTCGTCTTGTGGGGGCGTCGCAAAGTTAGCGACAAGCAGTGCTCAATCGGGTACCTATCGCGCGACAAAGCCTCATTCGATCACCGGAGGGCGCTGCGCTATAGCGGGAAACCTAATGGTCGGGAAGAGTTACTGAAGATGTCTAAAGCGGCAATACCAAACAACGCCAGTCGTTCCTTCCCCTCTCGCACTGTTTCCCGTCCGTTCGTCATTTGCGGATGGAGTCGGCGCATCGTTGTAGGCATGAGTGGTCGTTATGCAAAGGCTCGGATTTGCTGTTGGTGACGAGTCCCAGCTGGTACAAGTGATGTGAATGCGAAGAAATCAAGTACGCGAGTGTCTTTCGGACCGGATCAAGGGAAAAATCAGGACCCATCCATGGTATACCACATTCCCATCTGATCAAAAAAACAAGTACGAACATACTTTCGAAGCAAAGTTGACTGCCTGGCCGCCACTCAATAAGATAAGGGTTTGCGAAGAGATGGCTGCGCGGAAAGTGAGATTGGAGGTATGAAGACTATCTATGCTATGGATATCTAGCTTGCGATGCCCCTGTTCCAGCAGCTCTATAGAGACCAAGACTTGAGCGTGATCGTGAGCGACCAGTATAAGCCCTCTTGCTCACGGAAGCTTCGTCACAGCTGCTCGGCTCGTTCTGGTGACGCTTTGTGTTGCGCTCTCGCAGACCAGCATACCTCGGACGATGTGGTCAGTTGATACATTGCGTGCAGACAGTATTGCGCCCTCCTCTTAACTCTGCCTGCTGCCCTTCTTCCTTGCTCTTTCTTGCTGTCCTTCGTTGTTGCCGCTCTGCATCCTTGCTGCGATGCTCGTCCGTCCCTACTGGCTGATCACTCTACACGAGCTCTGGGACACCAAGGGGAAGAGCGACGGGAACCTGGCCGGCCACCGAGCATGAACGCCACAGTGGCGAGGGCTAGGGAAAGGCGTAAGGCTGGACTTGCTCAACGCGCAAGCTAGAGCAGGGCCGGTGTTTTCGGCCACAAAAAAACGAGAACGAGAGCAGGGGGTGCGAAGGCGCAAGTCTTCGATAACATCGGAAGCGCCCTTGAAACGAGCAAGGTCTTTACGGTAGCGGCGAAGGGTGGAGCGCTCGATCTAAGCAAGCGCCTCCTCGGTGCCTATGAGTGGACAGGGCTGTAGAAGAGTGTCAAAGGAAGATTAGAGCAAGAGTACAAAGCCATCGGTGGCGCTGTCCTCTTGTCGACGCCGATCATGTCAATCTTGCGTTCCTACGGTGTCGACATCAGCCAATGGAGAGAACATGTCGTAACCTTTTTCAAGAACGGCAAAGGGAAAGTCCGTACCAAACTGCCTTTCAACCCTATGGTGTAGGTGAAGGCAAGGCCAAATCCGTTGATGTCAGCAACTATCTCCGTCAACACACAGAGGCGACATCCAAGACGGCGATTGTCCCACCTGCTGTCAATCAGCTGGAGCATCACCCCTGTTTGCAACGAGCCAGTGACTATGTGTCATGGATGCAATGACAGGGCATCACCGTGGACACAGATTCTTGAATTCCGTGGCAGACGTTGATCGCATGCATTTGTGTATGTACATGTTGCAGAGAAAGACAGAGATAGAACAAAAGTCCTAATTGACCTTCAATGCCTGCATAGCAGAGTCCACTCTCTCGACTGGCACACCCACTTCGCCCAATCCCAAGTCTCTCGCGAAAATGTCAGCAGCCTTTTCTCCCACAAGCAAAGCTGTGTTGTTCGTGTTTGCACCCACGTTTCCAGGGCAAATGGAAAGATCACACAACTTCAACCCCTTGACGCCGTAGACGTTCAAGTTAGCATCGACAACACCGCCCTTCTCCCGAGGAGCCATGCGACAAGTGCCCAACGAATGCCAGGTCGTGTTGACGTTGTCTCTGACATGCTTCTCAATGGCCCTGTCGTCTTCAACCGAGTACTCGATTTCAGGAAGATTGTTACGATCCTCTTGAGACGAGAACTTTGCCGCTGGGCCATCGATCAATGCAGCCTTGCTACCCTCAGGGAACACAGGGTGACCCATAGCCAGTTCACCGTCGTACGCGTCTGTCCTGCGGTAGATCTCTCGTTGCTTCTTGTAAGCCCAGATCTGTTTCTGAACGTCCGCTTCTGCTCTGAAGAAACCAGTGTTGAAGCTAGCGGGTGTACCGACGTCCTTAGAGACGATGTGAATTTCGCCTCTGGAGTACGGGTATGCGGTGTATGCACCCATGGTACAGTATTGCGTTGGCACGCCATCTTCGCGTTGGGGGAGCACCTTGGGATCACCGAGGAAGGCTTGAACTACGCCTGTCAACATGACGGGACGAGTTGGACGGTTCTCGAAGTCTCTGTCCCAATGTTCCTTGAACTGTGGACCCATGGCCTCGATCTCTGCATTCGTGGGTCTGATCTTGGATGCAGCGTCAATGCCATTCCAGCCGAGTATGGGATCGTTATTCTGCATCGCTTCGCCAAAGTCTTTGCGGCCGCTGAGAAGGGCGTCGAGGGTCTGTTCGGGCTTCAACGTCGTCTTGTAAGGGTAGAGTACGAGATGGTGATCCTGATAGTTCTCGCCCACATCTGGAATGTCACTGACGACGGGGATGTCCAGTTTGGAGAGCACGTCTTTGCTTCCAACACCAGAACGCTCAAGGATGGATGGAGTGCCGAGTGCACCAGCGGATACCACTACCATCTTCTTCGCCATGACTTTCGATGGCGTCGATGTGGCATTGACACCAGTAACGGGCTGTGAAGAGGGTTTGGTGAGGTACTCCACACCAGTCGCTCTCTTATCGTCGTCAAACAACACACGAATAACCTTGCTATCGACCAGAAGATGTAGGTTGGGATATTCGCCTGACTGCAGCAATGGGTGGATATAAGTATGGGCGGCATCCTGACGCTTGCCCTCTGGCGAAATGTACTTGGCCCATTTCTGCATACACATTAGCAAATTGTCCCTTGGATGACGAAGCTTGGATGGAAGACTTACAGAAAACACTCCAACACCCTTCAGTCCTCTGATGTCTTTGTTCAGATCCTGTACATCTGCGTGGATCTCATGTCCGGTGGCAATAGCACCGTTGAACAGATCCTGCGCTGCTTCTTCTTGAAAGTATGTGCCGTAAGAGATATTGACAGGACCATCGTGTCCATGCAGGGATTGATCGATGTCCGGGTCAGTGAGATGATAGTTTTCAAGCTGAGCCGGTCAGTCACAGTCTCTCGAATACCACATTGAATGTGCGACATACCCTCTTCATCAGTGGCAGAAGATCCTCAGCGGACCATCCTTTAGTCTCCCAGTCGTCGAAGTCCGCTCCCTGAGCACGGGTATACATCATGAAGTTGATGGAACTCCCACCACCGAGTATGCCACCGCAAGGAACTATTGCTTTGCGACCGTTGAGCGCCTCTTCAGAATTTGCTTCATAGAAAAGTGCAGTCTGAGATCCAGGAACAAGATGAGACAGATACATGGCGGGATTCGTGACTGTGGGGTCATTGTAGTTGTTCTTGCCTCCTTCTACGAGAAGAATAGAGAGACTGGGGTCAGCTCTGGCAAGACGACCGGCTGCGACACAGGCTGCAGTGCCGCCGCTTCAGATAGAGTAAGCATGGTGTGCTAATTTGCTCTCTGTCATCGCTGAACGTACCCGGCGAAGATAACATCGTACTCGCGGCCTTCCACGTGGGTGGTCATGATGATTGTCTCAGAAGGTGATTGCAAGGATTACACACAAAAGGATCCCTACCTAGCACATGCAGCAGCTCATGTACTTGTAACGCACAGGATATCAGGGGCCACGGAACATGCTCCGCACCACCCCGCATTCTTAACGGCCGTTATAGGAAACAAGGTGGGGTAGCCGAGGCCGTGGCTGTATAGAGTCTAGTATGATCCCTCTGAAGTGCGGGCATGGAAGTCTATTTCTCAAAGTCGCTCCCGGCGCGACGGAACAAGATGAGGCTTATCACCCCGCTGCGGCGAGGGTCCATGGCTATTGGGATGATCTTAGGGCTAGGCAGGTTTCCTTACCAGGTGCTCAGCACGTGGTCTTGTCACCTGCTCTGAGACTTTCTTGGATCCGACATCAGAATGAAAGTGGCTTATTGGAGCCAAAGCTTCAGGAGTGAACTTGGAACTTGTGATTATTCTATGTATACAAGCCTCAAAATCTGACTGATCCCAGCGCTGATACAGGATAGATATAATCATTCAATCAAGCCTTCATGTTCTCCATCTCAAGTACGGTGGAGTCACTGTGGAAGTGGTAGAGCTTAGGCTCGGGCAGACCCTTCTGGCGCAGGATCGTGGTCTTGAACCAGTATGGCAAGACCTGGAATAGCTGATAACTCATGTGAGTGCGGGTAGGAACAGCAAAGACGTAGTCCAACTCCTCAAGGGAACGCTGCTTGGTCTCGGGAAGCCATAGGAAGATCATGGCGCAAGCAAGGGCATTCATAGCAGCGTAGAAGCCAAAGGCGCCAGTCGTGCCGAATGCGCGGAGTTGGCGAGGGAAGGTGAGAGAGACGACGGTGGCCCAGAAGTTGTTTGTGGCGACAGCCCAAGACATACCAACTTCACGGTGCGATAGGGGAAACACCTCAGCAGAGTAGGTGAAGGGAACGGGTCCCTCACCAGGAGAGTAGAAGGCGTCGAACAGGTAGATGAAAAGCGCGATGAGACCAAGGTGAGCTGCGGAGTCCTCGGGAATAAGGAAGCAGAGACCGGCAGCCAGCAAGGTCCAGCACATGTTGGGGAAGGTGAACAGGAGAAGTGCGCGACGACCGTATGTATCAATTGTCCAGACAGCTGGCCAGGCAAAGATGAAGTTGATGATACCAAAGCCCCATGATGCGAGGAGGGCACCAGTAACGGTCGCACCTGCATTCGCGAAGATGGTTGAAGAGTAGAAAGCGATGATGTTGATTCCACACATCTGTTGACCAATCATGACGATACCGGAAGCCTGTACTGCACGACGCAGGCGGGGGATGGTGAATAACTCGATGAAGCGAGTGAAGAATCCTGCGTTAGCAGGAAGACCAGACTGCTCGATGAGCATGACTTCCTGCTCCATCTGAGCGTAGATGTAAATCAGCTCTCTTGCAGCGAGAATGGGCTTGCCGCGGAAACGAAGAAGCGACTGGTAGGCCTTGCCATATTTCTTCTTTGACATGAGCCATCTGGGTGACTCGGGGACGAACCAGATGCCGAGAACAAGAGGAACAGCAGGAATGAAGGCCGATCCGAGCTGCAGACGCCATGCAATATCACCGACGTCCTTGACGGCAAGGTTGGCGGATGTACCGAGAAGGATACCGAAAGCAGTCCAGATCTGCCACGACATTACCAAACCACCTCTGATCTTGGTAGGAGCAACCTCAGCAGAGAAGACAGGGACGGTGACCTCCTTCAAACCCATACCGATACCAAGCAGGATACGAGTGACGACAAGTTGCTCCCAGTTCTGTGTGACTGCCATACCGATGGGAGCGAGAAGAGAGAAGACAGCAGCAATGAATATGACACCACGACGACCGAGCCAGTGATTGAGAGGGTCAGAGATCCAGCCAGCGAAGAGGAAAATGGCAAGGTATGGGCATGAGTTGATGAAGCCGACAAGCCATTGGTTGGATGAGCAAGTGCCTGCAGCTTCGCAGACAGCACCACTCTCAGGAATGCCAAATGCTTGAGGGAAAGACAAGTTCGCTCCGTTGGAACCAGTTTGATCCCATCCTTGGATGGCAGCTATCTCCGAGTCAGAAATTGATTTGTGCTCAGAAGAGGTGCATGCATACCAGCAACGGAGTTGAGAATGATGGTTACATAGAGAATCTTCGGCTGGCGCCACTTGTGAGTAATCTCCTCCTGGAAGATCTCCTTCTCTTCATCGGTGAAGTCGGACATGAGGGCAACCTCAGCAGGGTTCTGAGCAGCCAGAGCACCCTTCTTGAGGAGAGGCAGGATGTCGTTAAGATCATTGTCCGCGGCGAACTTTTCGGCAGAACGCATCAAAGTGTCGCGAGGCACACCGACAAGTGGGTTACGGATCCTTTGCAAGGTCAGTCAGGATAACGTGCAGGCGAACGGGTTCCGACGTACTCTCCAGTGACATTGTCGGTCAACTCTGCAACTCTGGCCTGACGCTTCTCTTCGGCAACATTGAAGCGATCGTGGGTAGGATCAGAACTGATGTCTTCGTTGTGAGCCATGATGACGATTGAGTGAGAAGGGAGAATGCTCTTCTTGACCGGGGACTGAGGAAGACCTCACTCTTTATAACATGCGACCTCCTTGCAGGCCGTGAGTACTAACGGGCTAAGTTTTAGTTCCTCCATGGGGCCCCGCGACACTTCTCCAAGTCGTGTGACTGGTCCGATTTACGATACTACCCCACGTAGCATGGTAGGTTCGCAACTCTCCGAAACGACCCCATATCATGGGCACTGCGCGGCTTGCGTGGCTGGTTATGCATCAGTAGTCGGCACGGCGGAGGTGCCTATCGGGCCTACTTGTCGGCTGGAGTCTCAAACCGGCACGAAAACCACTTCGGATCAGAAGGTATCTTTCAAACCTTGCATTCCGTTCGGGGATGCCGGATCTGCCAAGCGGAGTATGTATTGCCACGTCGTGAATGTGGCTTGCCCGTTCAGGTGGCGGCTCCTGTATAGCGTGTCTCAAGCATCTCCGGTGTAACTGTATGATGATCCTCCAGAAAGCTGTACAGTGGATGTCCCGAAGAACGTGGAGATCCTTCAGGGTCAGAGATTCTGACACTGGCGATCAAAGCTTCTGGTTTGCTTCCAGATCCTGCATATCATATCCCAATTCAAGTAACAACAGTCTCCTGAGTGAGAGGCGCCATGTTCGCGTGGAGCCGCTTGATGATTCATCTTCGAGTCGCGGTTCGTAGGGCGCCCTTCTCGTTGCTCGGCAATAGTAGATTATAGAAGCTTTACCACCATTTACGCTTTTTGGCGGTGGTTGGCGTGTGCGCCAGGTGCGCCTCGCGCGACATGCTTCCACCCATTGGCGCTGGCGCTGAGAACTGCCTCGCGAGCTATCACGGAGGTGCTTGGTGAACTATTCTGCAACTGCTGTTTGCGGTATGTATGGAAACTAACTTCTCCATAGACGCCTGGCAAAAGCGATGCAGGATAGGTGATCAGGAAGAGGGGAAGCAAAGACTCGACGCGTTCCACGGAGGCCGAAAGATCTGCAGGCTTCAAGCTTTGACTTCGTTCCTCTCCCCAGCCGTGAAAAAACACACGGCGGTTCCTCCCGCGAGGAGAAACTCCACGACATACCCTAGAAGCTCGTGCTCACAACTTGAGCCAGCAGCAAACTCTGTCAGTCTTGATTAGAAAACTCTTGCTCAAAGGAGGTGATACAGTGCTTTTAATCAGCCCGTCAACCTTTTTCAAGCGGGGCCACTAGGAAGTCCTTTCGAAAGGGAAAACGGCTGTATAGGCGGAATCTCCCTAGAACAGCGAGGCTCCGACGGCGGCGGCGGAAAAGTATCTACAAATCCTGGCCGAAATGACTGGAGACTCCACACCGATATTGGAAGCTCAAACACCTATGCGCCTGACGACATGAGAGCCGTTGACCGTTGGTCACGAACCAAGACGAACTGATTTCTCAAAGGACGATAACGGGACTGACTATGCTGCAAGGATTTTCGTCTTTCGTGCGATGTTCAGCGCCTTTCAAAAGCACAGCATTATTCAAGAGTGGTGCAGAGAACGTGGACGGCAAATTCGATTCGAGTATCTCCCAATACTCGGTCAAGTGCTTTCGCCAAGGTTCGCGCGAATCACACAAGCAGCTTCTTTAACCATTTCCCTCGCTTCCACATCTTTCGCACGTTCACCAAATCTCTCTGCCCAAAACTTCCACCTCGCTCGCGAAAAGCCTGGCTCACCATCCCAAAGCTCCGTCTTCTTACTCAACCCCTTAGTCCACCTATTCCCGAAGAAGTGGTTCTGGACCTGCATGAGTTGGCAGCCTGCATGCATAACCCATTGCGCAGCAGCTATGGTATCAGTCTGCAGTGATTGATCAGCTGTAACGACAGCATTCTTTGACAAATCCCTCGCGCGAGTCTCGAGTGTTGTCTCGAGCGCATCTCTGAGGTCGAAGAAAGCTGTGATACCAATCTCTCGCATCGCCTTTTCATCACCATGGTGTATCAATTCAGCCGAGAATGCCGTAAAGTTGATCCAATGCTCTGCACCCATCAAGCTGCCTGGTGATGAAGGTCTGAGTGTTCGCCAGGTGTAGTAATAGCTATGGGTATCCTGCCAATGTGACCATAGAGAGTAAGACAGTGTATTGGGACTTTCGGGACTTGGAGGTATTCTGCGGATGGCCAAGGTCAGTCGGACTACGTGGTCGATGTGTGCGGGGAAAGCGGCAGCAGTGTGAAATAGCAGGTTCCAGAGACGGTATGCTGTGTCTGATGGATCGGGGCTCAGTGTAGCGGTGTCAACAAGTTCTTTTGCTGCGTCCTGTGCAGTGGTCTTGTCCTGGAGTAATGTCTTGAGCACTTTTGTGTGCGACTCTAGGATGCCCCACCGTGCAACTCCTTCGCGTTCGAGCCACTGGTCGAGGTGCGATGACATTCGGACTTCTAGCGACGCAGAAGTATCTGCAATGATTTTCTGTTTTGGTGGATGTGAGTGCGATTCTCGACAGCATGTAAACGAAACACTCAAAGTCCTTGGAGAAGTGAGAGACTTTGCGACGGAGGTCACGCCGAAGGATTGCGGGGCGATGTCTTGGTGTCTTGGATTGCCCTTGGAAGAGAAACCTTTATTATATGTCATCGTGTTGCAATACTTGAGTCTTTGGGAGATGTCATATGGAAGCAGTAAGTCAGATGCAGCTTGCTGACCCAGTAAGGATTGTGCACAGAGATCATCAAGCAAGAACTCAACCGAAATTACGCATTGCCTGCTCAGAACTCTTGTATCAGAAACGCCGTGGTCGAATAGCAATCATCAAAAGCACACCGTTTCGTGAAATCATTAGACGCCTGTCCAGACCCTCCGATAAGAATGGAAACAATCTATCGCTTGTTCGCAGGCTCGTAGTTCTCCCAGCCATAAGTGCCTTCAGACATGGGATACTTTGCCGCATCAGCAGCTTCCTCCTCAGCAGTCATGGCCATAGCTTTCTGCTGTGCTCTCTCAGCAGGGCTGATCCTCTTTAAGAAGCCCGAGATGCGTTTGCCGACTCCTGGACGACTGCCATCACTGTCTTGCTGCGACGCACCAGCACCTTCTGCGTCGAGGTCTTGTTGCTGAGCAAGTGTTGCCTTTTCCTCGGATGCAGAAGGAAAGTCGTGAGATGTGGTGGCGGAAGAAGTGTTGGGCTGAACAATGTGGCCGTTGGTTACGGTTTGGCCGCCGATGTGGAAGGTCTCCATGTAGCCGCCGCCGTTCATCATATCGCGTTTCTCTGCCCATGCTTTCAGGGATGCGAGGTTGGCGGCTTCTTGTGAAGCTGTGCGGCGTAAGTATTGTGGTGGGTCAGTCGCCGGTAGCTCAGGGTCACAGGGAGCATCTTGGGTGTAGACTGGCAAGGGGTCTGAGGTGTTTCGCGACATGATTCTGGAGGTATGTAGATGATCAACTGGATGCTTGGAGTATCGCAGATAGAAGGAGAAAAAGAGAAAACAAATGGAGCTTAGCCTGCAGTCTTGTAGATGCTTGTGAATGCTTGTCGAGGCTTGATTGTTCTATTCTTACCTCTGCTATACCGAAGAGGGACGACACTATGTATTGGTCAGCTTAATACAGAAGGATCATAGAAAATCGTCAGCCTATGAAGCGACAACGTGGTTGTCCAAGGATGAATCAGAAGGAGAGTGAGCGAAAGTCTGTCGGAGACGCGGCAAGCTCGGTGGTGACGTAGTCGAAACGACGCGTGTTTGTGCTGCATCTTCCTGCTTGCCTGTGCAATCAGCAGGATCCTTCCAGACACCAATACAACAATCTCAAGAAACATAGACAAGATGGCAAGTGATACGCGCGGCGCTCTAGTAGTGGTGGGCAGTGGCCCTGGAATCGGCAGCCACGTCGCCCGCACCTTCTCTTCGCACGGCTTCAAGCGCATCATCCTCCTCTCACGCGACCCCTCACGTCTCGAGAAGGACGCTCAGTTCATCCGCAACAAGACGCCGTCCGCCAACGTCTCGACTTTGCCTATTGATCTCGCAAACACGTCCGGAATCCCCTCGGCACTTGCGCAGGTGGACAAGGCATTGGGCGACACTCCCCTTGAAGTCGTTCTCTTCAATGCCGCTCGAGTCGGCCCTAGCACTCTTGTCGAGTGGCCCATGGAAGAGCTCGAGCTAGACATCAAAATCAAAATAACAGGATGCTATGCTGTCGTCCAATGGGCTGTACCGAAACTGCTAGCCGCGAAGAAGTCGCACAAGCCCGCTTTCCTCTGCACATCAGGCTCCATCTACAAGGAACCCATCCCAGAGGTCTTTTCGCTGTCGGTATGCAAGGCTGGTCAGCACAATTTGGTGCACAGTATGCACAAGAAGTATAAAGAGGAGGGTGTATACTGTGGCATGGTGGTCGTTGGAGGCGTTGTTGCTGACGAGCATCCCGAGTGCAATGCTGAGAACATTGCGAACAAGACTTGGGCTCTATATGAGTCGCGTGATGATCTTCAGGTTGAGATTGTTGACCCGTGATTGCTTTGTATGTCTATGTATATCAGCTCAGCCAATGTATCATAGCGAACCATATCAATTGTCGTGCGAGCAAATCGATGCGTGTAAGTGGCGGTGCTAGTACATCAAGGTGGCGCGGAGTTTCGTTCCTCCCAGAGCGGACGTTACATGGAATCGGTGGAATTTCGGCTCCATGCCATGCCATGCCACTACTTCTAGCTAATACAACATTCCATGTCAATTATCTAGTGGAATAATTCCAATGCCAACGTCGTCGTCGTCATCACTGCGACCCTGTCCTTCTGAGGGGTCACCCTGTCTATCCACATAGTCCCCTTATTCTTCTTATTCGTCCTATTCCTCCTTTACGGTCTCCTCTCCTTCCTCTATAGGTAGATTAACCCTCTCGAAG